CTTTCAACTTCTCACACACGGATCGTCTTCGGGCGGTACAACGGCGCCGAAAGCGAAAGGGGACGGGAAGTCTGTCCTGGACCAGGGTAGTTTTTGCAGAAAGTAAGCAGCAATTAAGCAGTAAGCAGCGTAAAGCACGAGACAAGATGGTTTGTGCGATTGGGCAGAAGATCTCGGGTTGCGGCTGCAACTGCGCAACTCACTCTGTCGCGCAATGCATTCCCATGCTTTTGAGCGTGGTGATGGCGTGGCCGTGGAGGGAATAACGTGGTTCCAAGAGCGCAGAGAGCGTGTGAGAGGTAAGGGAGGCCCCCCAGCGCTCGACCGAGCCAAAGTCAGGGGCTCCCTCCCCAAAGGCTTGGGAGGTGTGATACTGAGACGTTCGAGCGACCATTGCGACTGTCTATTCTGTTTTCTCCTTCGGCTTGGGACTTGTCTCAAGTCCGTGGAGTGAGGTTGGCCCTCAACTTCTATATTGTTACTACGAATAACACTAGTTGAATGGGCGGGATCCAGCAGAGTGGGAAAGGTGGTGACAAGTAAAGGTGACACGACACGCACGCACACCACCTTCTCTTGACACTGGTGTAAGTGAATAAGGAAAAGGTCGCTGATGGCACACGCTACCTTAATTCCTAGCTCCGTCTCGGGCTTACTACGCAACAGCTAAAGCACCTAAAGCACTCTGGATGAGGCCGCGCCCATTCCTTTGTACAGAGTACAGTACCTACAGAGAGACATACACTCACAGAGTTCCGGCCTGGGTCTGCATGTAACGGGCATTACTGGGGGGAAAGCTCTTATTGGTGGAAGCAAGAAGGGGGATGAGGGGGAGGATGAGGGAATGGGAGTTCAATGGTGAAATGTGCTCGGTGGTGGGTAAAACATCACGCATCACCCCCTTTGAGTCTTGCTGCACGTCTTTGCTGACGGACTTGGGCCTGATGCACAATTCGGAGAGGGAGGCTGTGTAAGTCTGAGAGGTGAGATGTACGTGTACATTTGGCGGTGCAGACAAGTTGTTCATGGCAGATATATTGTACCCGCACATTACAACATATGAGGCAAGCACGTTCAAAGTGAATTAAAAATCACAGTGGCTAGAGTTGGATTCTTTTCGGTGGTTTACATCGTTCTTCTCGTGCAATTCTCGTATGTACACTCACTAGGTATTCCATAAGGTACAAGGGGGAAAAGAGCGACTGAAAACAAGTACGAGTACAACCGCGACTGCGCCATGCCGCCATGTAGCCCGCCCACACGCCCGGAGCCCCACCGGGAAACGGGGGACGGACTGGGGGGCCACGCAACCAACAGGGTCCAAGTCTCCCAGACTCTCTGCCAGAATGCCGCACCTCCTTCTTCAGCTTCGGTCTTGTCTGATATTTCTCCAGCCCCATCGGGGCTACGTAAGGTATGGGTACGAGCGACAGGTATGGGTACGGAGTACGGATGCAGACTATGGATTCTGAATGGGGGACGAGGAAACATCCCAAAGTGCTCCTTGGCCTGGCCTTGCGAGGATCCTCCCTTCATGTGTCCAACATATTAAGAACTGGGGATCCGGCACCGACCTTTCCTTTGGCCTCCACGCTTACTCCTAATACACCAAGTGACACTACGAATACGCTACCTCTGCCTCGCCTTACATCAGACTGTCGAGGATTTTGCCTGTCTTGGATCTACCTTTAACCTACCTTGTCCGGTAACATCCCGTCTCTCGTTGCCCTGCCCATCTCAACCTCCTCGCTACTCCAGTCTCCGCCTTTTTCGACTGTCTCTCGTCACCTCTCTTCCTCTGCCTCAACTCCGACCTCGCGGGTTTTCCTGCTTCCTTGCAACTTTGAGCCAGCCTCCTCAGAGTTGTAGAGCAAGATCCTCGTAACCGACGATCACTGTTTTCGACCTTTATTTAGTCGACTGCCTCCCGCTTTCGTCGATTTCCGCAACCGAGGTTTTGGACTTCAGTCTTACACGGACAACACCAACAAATTATACACGCTCTCACACACATCCATCAACAATCGACATGGTCTTCTCACTCCGCAAGGCCTTCGCGGCCCTCCTCGCCACAACCGCAACAGTCTACGCCCTCCCCTCAGACTCATCCTCATCAACAGAATCAACCGTAAACACAACCTCCCTCGCCGCCACCTCTTCAAACTCAACAGTCTGCAACAACTCCCCAACCCTCTGCAGCCGCAAGTACAATAACATCACCCACATGGGCGCCCACGACAGCGCCTTCCTCCGCGACGCCAGCACCTCAAACTCCATCGCCGGCAACCAGTACTACAACGCCACCGTCGCCCTCAACTCTGGCCTGCGCCTGCTCCAGGCCCAGGTCCACCTCGTCAACGGCACCTCGGGCAGCGTCCTCCAGCTCTGCCACACCACCTGCAGTCTGCTCGACGCCGGCACCCTCGAGAACTGGCTCTCCGCCATCAAGGACTGGATGGACAAGCACACCGACGACGTCGTCACCATCCTCCTCGTCAACTCGGACAACCAGGCCGCCTCCGCCTTTGGCAAGGTATTCGAGTCCTCGGGCATCTCAAAGTACGGCTACAAGCCCTCCACCTCCTCCGCGACCTCGAGCTGGCCCACCCTCCAAACCATGATCGACGCAGACACCCGCCTCGTCACCTTTGTCGCCTCCATCACCGCCGACACGGACTACCCCTACCTGCTCCCGGAATTTTCCTACGTCTTCGAGACGGCCTACGAGGTCACCTCCGCCGCCGGCTTCAACTGCACAATCGACCGGCCCTCGACCTACTCCACCGCCGCCGCCGCCGTCTCGGCCAACATGCTGCCCCTCATGAACCACTTCCAGTACCAAACCCTCGCCACCGACATCCTCATCCCGGACGTCAGCGACATTGACACGACCAACTCGGCCTCCACCAGCACGGCGGGCAACCTCGGTCTCCACGCGCAGACGTGCAAGAGCCAGTGGGGCACCAAGCCCGTCTTCGTCTTGGTGGACTTCTTCAACAAGGGCCCGGCCATTGACGCCGCCGATAACCTCAACGGGCTGTCTTCGTCCGACATCTCGGGCCGCAGCAGCAGTAACAGCGCAACCGCGAGCTCGAGCAGCGGCAAGTCTGCTGGTAGAGCACCCGGTGGTATGGAGACTGGCGCGCTCGTCGCGTTCCTCGCTGCTGCCGTGTTCTTGTTTTAAGGGGTGTCGTCCTGTTTCTGATTATCAGGGTCCGAGCCAAAGAAGGATGTGCCACTTTTCATGCGACAATCTCATGAAAAAGAGTGTCTGTGTGCGTACACTCGTGCGAAGGACATATCTCGGATGAACACTAAGATTCTCTTGTTTCCCTCTTTTACCTCTTTTTTTCCTTCTTTTTTTCCAACAAAAAGATGCATAGCGACGGCGTTCTATCATGAGTCGAAATCATCGGCAGAAACGACTCTTTTTCTTGCTTTCTTCACAGCTTTGTTTCATATACAACCCGGGGCAAACGGCACCCCCCGCGAGTTTTGTTTGGAGGAGAGCCCTTTGGGACGTAGGGCAACACCACTGATCGGGATTGGATCAGTGAGGTAGATAGATATCGAGCATTGAGTGAAATCATGCTCAGTTCAATATGAAAATCAACTTCATGAAATAAACCACCAATGGCTAGTGTTATGAATGAGTGAGAGTGAGAGTGAGTTGAGGTTGTCGGCTTAGACGTGACGAGGAGGGAAACTCAATAGGAAGGTAGCAAGGACCCCTCCTATACGGTTAGGAACGGACCACCCCCACCCCTCATTGCATCATTGGGAGAGGTACTCTGCACGACGACGGCATCTCAAAGTCCACGACGTATGAGCTTGCCTAGTCATTCTACGGTTCATCATCAAGGTCCTTCGTTGTATCTATCGTAACCCTTCTGTTTTCCTAAATTCAGAACTTGTAATGAAATCGAGCTCTCGGCCTCGCCTAAGGACCAATCCCACAGCTCTCGACCCTCAACACGCCACACAACCTCAGTACCTAAAGCCGAAGTCGCGCAAATCTAACCCCACCACATACCACTCATCTCACTCAATCCGAGCATCTCCAAAACTTCAATTCACTCACAAACATTCACCTCTCTTACTCACCGCACATATTCTCACCACAACATAAGCAAAGATGACTAGCGAAGACTACTCCAACATTCCCACCCCCAAAGCCGCCTACGCAGACTTCTGCCTCATCCCCGTCGGCACAGGCAGCGTCTCCGTCGCCAACGAGGTCGCCCAGGTCCAGCGCCTGCTCAAGGCGAGCGGGCTCAAGTATGCCATGCACTCGGCCGGCACCACAGTCGGTACGTCGTCTCCTCTTCTCCTTCATACCTTATAGTACAGAAGACCTCTCTCTGTGCTCAGAGTGAAATACTAACGCCATCGTGCTTGCTCGCTCCATAGAGGGAAGCTGGGACGACGTCTTCCGCGTCATCGGACAAGCGCACTCTCTCGTCCATCAGAGCGGCGTCGTGCGTATTCAGTCTTCGATGCGCGTCGGCTCGAGGTTTGTCTACCTGAAATGAAATTTCTACTTCACAACGAAACGAACCAAGCAAAGTTGTGTTTGCGCGGAGAGAATATTTGAGTGGCTGATGATGGTTATCTCTCTTTTGCGCAGAACGGACAAGAAGCAGTCTGCCGCCGACAAGGTGGCGCGGGTGGAGGGCATCCTTGCGCAAGACAAGTAAACATTGAAGACCAAGCTGTGGTATGAGAGACGGTTCACGGTGATGACACAAGACAAGAAGTTGACAGCTTATTAGGTTATGATTTGACACGAGATATACTATTTGATTTACCCCGCCGCCGCCACTTTTCATGATAGTACATGTACACATCTCAGCCTTCGTAGATTGTAATATTGACACCGCCGACCCTCCTTGGACCCCCTAGACCGCCCTCGGCCTTTTTCCCCTCCAGGTTTAAAAGACATTGATGAAGGGTAGCAACTTTTTAAGAGCTTCCGCTAAGGAAAACATTCAAACACTGCTTTAACCGCGCATGGTCTGCTTCTTCATGCTCTTCTTGAGGTCGCGCTCACGCTCCCTCTCGAGGTACTTCTTCTGGGCCTTGGCGTCCAGAGCGCTGAGCTCAGCATCGCGCTTAGCCTTCTTCTGCTTCTCGCGCTCGAGGGTACGCTCCTCGGCCTTCTCAGCCTCGGCAGCCTTCTTGAGCTGGGCGATGGTCTCCTCGCGCACGCTGCGGACCTTTCGCAGGACCTCGGGGCGGAAGTGCGCACCCGAGACGAGGGCGTCGGGAATGCGGACAAAGTATTCGAATAGGGGCAACAGAGATTCGTAGTTGTTGCTTGAGGGGATGCGGTAGCGGAGGAAGACGCGCTTGCGGGGGGTGGTCTCCTCGATGCTATTACACTGTAAGTATTGAACATGACCGACAAGTGGCGGTTGGAACTCACGTGCTGGGACGCTCGATGGGCTGGTCAGAGACGATCAGGTAGTCAAACGCATCGCCGGCAGCCTCAATGGCCTTGATAAGCTCAGGGGTCAACAGCTGCTCGGTGATCTCGGCGCTCTCGCTCATGACGGTGACCCAGTTGGGAAGCTTGGCATTGTCCTTGGTGAAGGTGATGGAGACGTCGTAGCGATCGTCGCGAACCTGCTTCATGCGCTCCTTGGAGACGATGGCCCAGACAAAGTTATCGTATGTGCTCTTGTTCTCCTTGCTGCGCAGCTCGTGGGTGCCGGGGATCGCGGGAACAGTGAGGCTCTCCTTGCCGTCAAAGGGGTAGATGACAGCTTCGACAGAGTCGTGAGGGGCCTCAACGGTATCCATGAAGAAGCTGGTGACTGCCTCGATGATGCTGAGGAACGGGTTGAAGCGCTTGGTTAGCGTCAACTTGACGTCCATGAAGGCGACATTCTGGCGACCGGTTCCGTAGCTGGCAAACTCGAAGAGAGACTTCTCGCGCAGCAGACCCGTAGGGTCTTTGGGGTCGGTGTCGGTCGTGGAACGCGGGGAGAAGCCGACGGAGGCGAACTCGGACTTGAGCACCGGCGCGTGGGCGGTGGCCCAAGACTTGGCCTTCTTGCGGTTGAGGCGCGAGCCAATGATGTGGAGGAGAAAAATGACGGCGCTGACGGCGAGGATGGCGCCCTCGAGCTTGAACTCGCTGAGGGAGTGGCGCTCGTGGATGTTGTACCACTTCGTGAAGGGACGTCCCGTAGCCTCGGGCGCGCCGCCGAGAGTCGTGCCGCCAGGGGCAGCTGTGAAGGCGCTGGGCACGGGCGACGGATCAGCAGCACCGGCGAAGTCTGCAAAGTCTATATGCGAGAGATAACTGCGTCAGTCTAATGAGGTTGTGGATTTTGTGGGTGCTGAGGGGAAACTGGAAGCTTTGACAGCACGGGGGGTGGTTTAGGGGGCAGGGGAATTGAGTCTCGAGAGTAGCATACCGGAATCACCGCTGGGAATTGGAGATGCAGAAGGCTTGGAGCCTCCGAAGAGGCCGTTGAGGATGGCGGCCATGGTTGCGGTCGAGGAAGGGATGGCTGGCTGGCTGCGGTGGTGTCGAGATCCAAGACTGCAGACAGTGAAGCTGCGAGCTTGTGAGGAGGTATCGCCAACCAGAAGGCGAAATTAGGCCAGTCGTCAACCTGTCGTCAGCCAGTCACATCGCTTTCCTGGAAGCTGGGGCACAGTGATGTTTCTCCACTTATTCATCTGAATGCGGTCGACCGTCGTAGAACCCAGCAGCGTGGGTTCAGTGTCTCGTGCCCGGCCGGGGCCTGGGGGTCCTTTAGCGGCCCCGGGATAACGCATTTTCCGGACAAGCTCTGGTTGTCTGGACGACGCGCCCGGAATGTCAATAGTTGCCAACGTCAGTCATGGCGACATCATGCAATAAAGCGTCAAAGCAGTAGCACTCTACTCAACAAATCAACCCTGTATGGACTCGAGAAGAAGAAGAAGACAAAATGGTGCGAACAACGGCAGCTCGTACTTACGGCAAGACCTCAACAAAGGCAAAAGCAAGGCGACTGTTTGCTGAACTTCCACAAACGCCGATTCGGAAACCCAATGCGACAGTCACCCTAGACTCCGAAGATGACTCTATCATCAAGATTACCGAGGATCTGGACGCCCTTGGGATCAACTTAGATTCCTATTCCTCTGAAGATGAGCTATCAAAAGACTTCAGCGAAGTTGTCGTAGAATCTCCGCCAACACCACAAAAGCCGGAGACTCCCCCGAGGGCGGTGAAACAAACCCCACGGACCGCAAAAACCACGAGAAGGATAGCAAAAGGAACGCTCCTTACACCCGTGTCGAGGGCCGAAACGCCCAAGACCAAAGCCCCCGAAGTGCCAGTTGAGCCTCAGCCTGAATATCGCATCCTTACCTGGGAGGATGTATGCCCACCCGGAGACACGATCGAGAAGATTGCCGAGGCTTCCTACGCAGAAGTATACCGCGTCCGAAACGACCGTGGCACAAGCATTATCAAGTGCATCCGTCTTGAGTCGCCCATTAAGGCCCAAACTAAGGCTCAGGAGCGATCTGGACTGGTTGACGAAGAGCCGCACTCGGAAGACGATATGCGTGGTGAACTAAGCATATCCGAGTGGCTCGCTGACATTCCAGGTTTCGTCATTTACAAGGAGCGCTACCTTGTGAAAGGAAAAGCACCAAAGTGCTTGCTTGAAACACACCAAAGCTTTCATCGGAAGATGAAGCGCAAGGACCCGGATAGGCTGCAGTTTTACCCAAGCCCGAGTCGCTATCTTGACGAGACCACTTTTCTGGTGGTAGAGCTGGGCGATGCAGGAATTGCGCTCGAAGACTTCGAGCTTACGGATTCCGGTCAGCTGTGGGATATCTTCTTTCATGTGGCAATCGCACTGGCTAGGGCGGAAGATCTAGCTTGCTTTGAGGTATGTTGGTACGCCATTGAAGCGACTGGCAGGACGGCGTGAGCTAACACGATCAGCACCGCGATCTGCACGAGGGCAACCTTTGCATACGGAGATCAGAAGACCCGCAAACGCGGAATCCGAAGAAAGCAGGGCCGTACTTTGGCTACTCTGGCCTTGACATCACGATTCTTGACTATGGTCTCTCTCGCGCCGAGGATCTCGAATTAGAAGAATCTGAGCCTATTGCGCTCGACCTCGAGAAGGACCTCAGCATCTTCACCAGTACTCACGCCCCACAATGCAAGGTCTACCGCCAAATGCGATCTTTTCTTATGCGCGGCGAGCGTGGGCATCTGCCACCGTCCGCCCACAAATCACCTTACTGCAAGGGGGTAGATGGCGAACCTCTGTCATGGGACGTATTTGTGCCGTACACTAACGTCTTGTGGCTGGCATATCTCTATCAGTACATGATCAAGGGGTTTCAGGGCGACAAGAAGGACCTCGCAGCGTTCAAGAAGGTCACGAAAGAGCTGTGGAAATACCTCGATCCCGATGCCAAGGCTGGAACGCCGGCATTTGGGACTTCAGCCGAAGTCGTGAGGTTCGCGGTTGAAGCCGGCTGGATAGACGAGTCACAGCTGATGGGGGACATTGAAGAAGACAGGGAAGAGAGCATCATTCTTTCCAGAGAGGAGGTGCAAGAATTGGGTCTGCGGCGATCACCGCGAAAGCTGCGGTGATCTTAAAGAGTGTTGAGTTACGAGCATGGTTTGATTTTACAGCGCACCGCATAGCAAGGAGCATAACGGGCTGGACCATTGCATATGGGCACTAGGCGAAACGGCGGGTGTAAGATGCATGCATAGATGATTGCAAATACCCAATTGATATTGTTCAACAAAGCCATTCTGTGATACGAAGCGAATGTGGATTTATCCAGAGCTAACCCCAGCAACTCTGTCCCTGTGAGTAAGCCTTTCATCCAATGAAAAGAAGTTCTGGAGTCAAACAGCCCTGCCTGCACAATCATGACAAGACCACAGCGTTATGGACGTCTAGTTGAACAGTCCTTCGGAACTAGTCCCACCCCCACAGCCACTACCTTAGCTGACACTTGCTCTTTCCTTCTTTCCGCTGTTTCTCTATGCTTTGTACTCTCCTCGTCACGACCGAAGATTCACGAGAATACGGCCAAGAAAGCGCTTCTTGGGAAGGCTTTGTTCTTCAGTGGGAACCTCTGGGGCAGTATCTGTGCCCGGATGAGAAGAATGCCCTTCGGGGTTCCCAGCAAGCTCAAGTGCGTTCCGTCGTAGCGTGACTTGTAATTTCTTCGAAGTCTTCTGAAGAATATCTGCCGGCTGCAGACCATCGCTCAAGGCTTCGCGGCAATCGTTGCTGAGGACGACAAGAGTTGCCAAAGCGGAATCCTTTACGTCCGCCGGGACGTAAACATTTTCCGGTCCTATTTCTCGAGATGCCATGCTCTGTGCGGCAATGACGATGGTAAGGCAAATTACTGCTGCAGCAAACTCGGCGGCGATGAAGGATATCCACCCCCCAAATGATATGAAGGTACGAAACCTCCTTCAAAGGGGTTCCGTCGATAACGACCGCACCTGGTCTCCCGTCCTGGCCATGTGTGTATCGTAGACTGTCAAACTGAGTCAGAGAGTTGAAACCAAAATAAGAGAAGAAATTACTCAGATGAGACGCTGGTAGCAATATTAAGCAAGAAGTTGTTCAGGTGGATCTCTCGCCGCGGGGGATTAAAAACATTCTTGTTGCTGTATGTCACATCACGATACCAGGCCCGGGGAAAGCTGCTAAACCAAAAGTGGTTCAATGTTTCATTGGGCGTAATCCGTAATTCTGCTTTTCCATTTAGCAAAATAGATATGCCCATTGCCATATTCCACATGGTGGCGTACGAGGCGCTAAACTTCCGTGGTCCAGCATTCGGTGGTGTGATCTGTGCAACTAAGTCGCCTGGCTCTTCCAACGGCTGACATACCTCCTTTGTACACTTGCGCCCCAAGACAATTCCATTGCTTGGATCGTCTATTTGCGATACAGTGTCGCTTATACTGGTCTCATCCAACCCCGCGCGAACTCTTGTTTTGAACGTCTGAACGCAGATGTGGAACAGGACTTCGCGTGCCTCATATTTGAACTCTGTAATCGAATCGATCACATCATCGATAGCGTCGGAGTCAGCCGGAAGATTTTGAGTTTTGCTTGGTGAAAGGGGAGAGGTGTAAATGAGAAAATAAAAGAGAAGCCTGGCTTTGAGAAGCCTTGTGTTGTTTGAGTAGCCAAAGGTATCGGCTCCTTCAAGCTCGCCGCTTATGACCGTCAATGGACTCTGATGCAACATCCCATATTTGCCTGAGAGGCTGACATTCCATTCCTTTAGACCGGGAATCAGTCCCCCATTACCGTCTTCAAATAAGTCCAACGTCAGATTACTTATCGGCTTCGTCAGTAATTTTGAAGTTATGTTAGCAGTCTTTACACAAACACCTAGTGACTGGTAGGGACCAAAGTCGCAATTTCCTGTAGAGCACAAAGCTTTCTGTGGAGGAGCTGGGACTTCGTAATCCCCATTATCCGGCAGAGTAGCTTTCAGAGATGCAGTTTCCGCCAATTTTCTTGCGTAGTTGTGGCCTAGAGTGATTTCATCGATCGTAAACATCTTAGCCTCCTCTTCAGAAGCGGTGTTATTTCTCAAAGGGTAGCTGATAGCTAACTGAGTTACTGGGGAGGAGAGATTACTAACAATCATCAAGATAGCACCAATAGTGACTGTGTGCTTAAATCGCACACGAAATAGCAATTTCAGGGAACCCAGCCAGCCTCTACTTGCCTGGTCAAGGATGTAAAAGTCGTACAGGGGGTTTGGTTTCAAAAACCAGGTGAACTTCGATTGACTGAAAGCCAGGGACACGGGTAGCATGAAGGCTCCTTTTGCTAATGTTGTGAAGAAAGCGAGAAATGTGTTGAGCGTGATCTTGAAACGCCAAGTTGGCAGGTTGTGATTATCATAAGAGGCGAGAACGATGACGATGGCTGGATTATTTTATATAAGGTATTAGTCAAGGACGTTTCCGGATGAGAATTGGATACCTGAAGCCCAGCCACGCTTGCTTACCAATGAACGAAGCAATGCTAGCTATGATGCAGAGTATCTCTTTCCACCAGACTTTCCAGAATGGGGCATACACTCTCAGCGACGCAGAGGGATGAAATTCGGTTTTTGGGCCAGTGCTCCCGAATGAGGGTTGCTCCGAAGCTATGGGCTGCTCTTGACTGAGAATTGGGGCGCCGTCGGTCACGGGCTCCTGGACGCTGAGAGAATCTGGCATGTTGTCAAATACGGGCCCTTGATCGATTTCGCGACCATCTGTGAGCCTAAGAGAGAGGCTGGCTTGCTGTTGAGGATTTATATCGGCAGGCATAGTATGAAGGGATGGCGACGTTTGCCTGATGATGGCGCGTCTCCGTCGGCATGCCCCGACTGAAGCCATCGGGTTGATTCTGGACAGACTCGACAACGCCGTCTTGACTTGAGCTTGGATCTCTTCTTACGACACCTGAACACGACATGGGCTCCGATGCGGACTAGATTTATGCAAGTAGCCTGAAAGCAGAATCGCTCAAGAGCAACTCAGGGAGTAACCTTCTTAAACATAGCCTATGCCACACCGATAAAACACCATGGGCGGGTTTGGATTTCTCACAATTTTGGCGGTGAGTCCTATGTATCACAAAGCGGTACGCCGCCTATTGCCCAAACACAAGTGGAACCGAACGTCGCCCCCGAGTGTCGCTGCAGCTTGCGCGATGCCAGAGTCCGTGCAGTTTTACAAGCCTACGATAACTTTGGAAATCATCAACTGAGAGCTATAGCTTCGTGGCATGGTTGAAACGCGGATCTGCTTGCACGGTAGAGTGGATAGTCATCTTCGTAAAATCTTGTGTTGAGGTAGACCCAATTAAGGCTGATGGTCACGAGTCCTTCCGTTCGAATTAGATTACCTCTTGGTCGATACCAAGTACATGCTGCAACCAGAAGCTTATCTTCATTGCTAAATCCTGCGATACTAAGACGGTACGAGCAACAAAATAGCCTTCCTCGCTTGAGCAACATCACCGCACCTGCTTGACATTCAGTGAACTGCGCAAAACCGACCGAACTATCAGTCTATCTATAGAATACGTCTCTTGGATGCGTGACGATAGGATCAGGGACGACACACGGAGCAAAGTGATTGTGACATTTCGGAGTGAGTTCTCGGATTCGAAGCTGTACGCAACTGAGTAGTCAACCGTTGAAAAGAGGTAAAGAAGGGAGGAAGACGTTGGGTAACTTTCGGTTCAATATGAAACCACCTAGTCACCGCTCAGCCAGGCGCTCCACAGCTAAGTGCTCTCCACGCAGGCTCAGTCATCCCGATGACTCTCCCACCCGCGACATGGTCAAGCTATTTGGAGAGAAACGCCTTAGACCTGAGTATTCGAATTGAAGGGGAAGGAGCTTGATCTTTGTTTCAATTAGGCATCGTCCTGCAATGTTCGACTTTGGAGACCATTTAGTGATTGTTCCGTTCCTATATGTCTACCAACCAATACTGTTACCGTTTTTGAGAGACCAAGTAAAGCTCTCTTCGCCTCCGTAGATACACAGTGCACTATCAAATAAATACCGCGACCAGCAGTTCCGGCTCTTAGTCAAAGACTACGAATAGCCAGGTCTTAATACCTCATATGCTGCCCTGAAAAACCACCTTTTATCCAGTGTATATACCGTCTTGTATACGTAAAAGTATAGCAGGGTACATGCACAGGCAGCAGGCTTTCGCTATGCGTTTTTGCCGAGGCGAAGGTGTTCTTCAACGTCCCACAGAGAATCTCCTTCCCCAGAGTGCTGGCAGCCGCCAAAAAGCTCCATGATGGACCAGAACCACCACCTAGCCTGGGTCATTCGTCAAACGAAAGGCGAGCATCCGATTTAGATAAGATAGCAGAAGCTTTGGCGAGGCGAAGGGGCCTCCCCCACTTGCGGCTTACGGGCAAGGTCTCGAAATAATACATCTTGACATGTGTTTCAGTCCAGTAGCCTGGCAGAGCGAGACTTTCATTCCGAGGAGTATGTCATTCTCAGAAGAGAGGGGTATATTATTCTAACTGTCTATTTTTCGGTTATGCTTGACCAACTCTTCGCCGCCCTCAACCGGCAAGCAACTTATCATCAGTCTCAAGAACCTTTTCCTGAACACTTTGATCCTCCTTCTCCCCATTCTTCTTCACTTCCTCCTCCTTGCCCTCCTCCCTTGCTGTCTCCCCATTCCCCGCAGCCTTCAACTTGGCCTTATCCTTCTTACTCAATGACACAGCCCCCTTCGCCATAGCCTCCTTGGGCAAAGGCCGAATAATCGGCTGCACAACCCACCAAGGCCTCTTACACCTCTTCACTGCGCCCCTCGAACTCTCCCCATCCTCCTCCACAACCTCCGCAGCATCGGCCTCCGGACCCAGCACCTCGTCACCCGCAAACATCTCCGCGCCCCGAGCCTCGTACTCAATCAACCCCTCGGCGACCTTCCTCTCCACCATGCTCAAAATTCTCTCGTACGCCTCCAAATCGCCCGCCCGGCTCCGCGCCAACAGGTCCCGCACGTCGGTGTGCTTCGACACAAAGTGCCGCAGCAGATGGAACATGTGCGGCTGCATCGCCGAGTAATTCGGGCTCAACGCCCGGCTCTTGGCAGATTTAGGCCCGTTGGTCACGTCCCGCCTCCTCTTCTTCCGCTCCGGCTCGTCCTGCTCCGCCTCCGCACGATCCATCTCCTCCATCCACGCCGTGTCGTCACCAGGCACAAACAGCGGACGCCGCGAGGGCGGGTCCTGGCCCGCGGCGTACTTGTGCAGGATATCCATGTACCGCCTCATCACCGCGTCGACGCGGTACCCTCCCTTCCCGTCCTTGCCGCGCCAGTACTCCCTCGTCTCGGTCCCGGCTTCCGGCGGTCGGCTGAAGATGGCCGGGTCACTCAGGTTCCCCTCGGCGCTCATGACGCCGTCCGCGCCCGTGGCGTCCAGCGCACGCTGCAGGTCCGCGTGCTGCAGTATATTCCCGTTCGCGAACAGCACCGTCTCAGGCGGCAGCTGACCCCTCAACCACCTGATGGTCTCCCAGTCCGCCAGACCCGTCAGGTGTCCCTTCTGCTCGCGCAGCCGGCCGTGGACCGTGAGGATGGACGCGCCCGCCGCGAGCACGTTGCGCGCGTACGCCAGCGTCGCGGCCCTGGTGTCGAGGATCCGGATCTTGGCCGTCACGGGGATGGGCAGGTTCTTGTGTAGGGTGTTGATGAGCTTGAAGATGAGGTCCTGGTCCTCCTGCAAGAAGGCGCCGTATTTGCCCTTCTTGGCGATGCCTTGCGGGCATCCCAGGTTCAGGTCCACGGCGTCGCAGTAGGGTGCGACCTTGAGCGCGGCGCCGAGGAGAGCATCGGGGTCGTTTGCGCAGAATTGCACAAAGAGGGGTCTGTCGATGGCAGGGTTGCCGTCGAGCCAGGGCTTGGTCGTCGTCGGGTTCATTGCAGTGTCGGTCGCATCGTTCGAGTCGCCGGGTCTGACCGCTTGGAAATGGCACTGGCGGTAGTTTTCCGTGTCTTTGTACAATCGCGCATGGAACATAGGCGTGTAGGCCACCAGGTTCTTCTGCTCGGACGCCGGGATGAACGACCGGCTCAGCATTCGCCATGCCTATCGAAAACCATTAGCAACCCCGTTCCCAGACAATGTCTCTTCGCACCACGAGCTTCTTAGGGCGAAAAGAGAAAACCTACAAATTCAGATTGATCCACCATAGGTGCAAGTATATACTTTGGACTTCCGATGCTCTCATAAAATGCCCGCCCGTGCAGCTTCGGTCTGGTCGCGGCCGCAGATGCTGATGCTCCGGCCTCAAGCCCCGCGGTCGGGGCCTCTGTCGTTGTCGCCATTCTTCTCGTCGAGGTCAAGAATCGGGCGAACCGGGTTGTCTGAGACGTCCGGAGCCTCCAGAGCTTGAGAAACCCCTCCAGGATTTCGACTGTAACTGAAGAAAAGGATAAAAGACTCCTGATGACTAGGTAGCCCAATTTGTCATCGCACGCTCGACTGAATCCCGTCTTGACGTTTACTGCGACTCTGTATACTTTAGCTTGTGATGGAAGAAATTTTTGGTTGAGCCTTGCACACTCACAGAGTGCGAGGCTGAGAAACCCCAGATGGGAAGCTCTACCTGATTGGGTGGGATCATGGGCCCAGTGTTTCCCCCACGCATGGAACCCAAGGTAAGGAAGTGCGAGGGAAGCCACTGTCACCTATAGCAAATGACGTCGTCCCACCGATCAAGCAGAAACGTTCTGCGGAGACAAGTACCTGACACCGCGGCTTCTCAAGGCTCATCTGGCTCTAGTGCTGAGACGGTGTGTCAGACCATTCATGACACACGCAACCCAACAAAGGATTGCTTGCGTAGGACGGGGCTTTTCACATGCAAACTTTTCACCATGCACGCTCGCTCGCTCGCTCTAGTCCGCTCTAAACTATTCAATTCGCTGGAGCGGTCGATACCAGCATCGAGACCTCGCTGAGACTAATCTGTTCTTTTGGAAGAAAAAAGCCACACTCTATTCCGCCTCCTCATGACCCGACGAACTTTGAAGGCGACGTAACTCGAAGAGAACCGACAGGTAACGAAAAGTCCTTTAATCCCTTACAAAACAAATATCGAAACACTAAAACTCGACCTAGTGTCAAGTATGTGTGTGTGTGAGTGATGCCATCTTTTCAGAAATCCGCATCTAGTTCGTCAGAGGACTTTAGCCCATCTGATAAAGTGTAAGAGGTCAACGCTATTATCGCCATCATGTCCTCGAGGTCCGTGTGATTGCTGCTCAAATGCAAACAGGCCATCGGCCCGTAGTCTGCACTGACTGGCCTACTGCAAGGCTGTCCCGTCCGGCCGCCGTCTTCGTATACCTCCAACCCCTTGTGGAAATAGTTAAAAAAGAGAAAAAAAGAATTAATTGATAAAGGGCGGCCGGGCAAGGCTTCTCAGTCAGGCAAGAAAAATGCTGTCGAGTGACGATAGTAAACGCCCTGACACCGTACGATGCTGTTCCTAACGCCGTCGAATGGTAAATGTAGTTCAAATACATGATTGAGGGGTTGGTGCCCGTCATCAAGAAGCAAAAGTGGTGAGATTCCGTCTTGCAGGCGTAGCCGTCGTTAGAAGAAGTGTGTGTAAATCTTGGAGTTTTCGTGAACTTCCATTTCCTGTGAGCAGTTAGCGATGCATCAATCTGTGATGTCAAGATCAGCACGTACCATCTTGAATGTGTTGAGCTCCTCCTTGATCTGCTGGGCAAGCATCGGCGTCAGGCGATTGCAGGTAGCAATTTCGCCCCTACGATCATATTCGCCGCTGGGCCAAGTGTCGTGGAAGACAATTCTTGGCGAGAAAGTTGCGTTCCTCTTGGCGGAGCCCGAAGGCGTTCCTGGGGCACTCTTGGTGTCCTGGCGAAGCCTCAAGGCAGTCATGAAGTAGTCTTCGTTACCGATGGCTACAGATCCGGAACGCTTATGGCCCTGAGCCTCGTCATTTGGCGTGCTAGGTGCGGTTGAGATGGGAGAATCGGCGACGTTCGGGATTGCGGGCAACTCGAAGTTGGATCGCGGGTCACGAGCAGGGCTGCCTGATCTGTTGTGCTTTAGAATGCCTTTCCTGACAGCAGCAAGCACCTCGGCACGCTCCTTGTCACCATCGACAATGCTCTTTCGCCTCGCGCTATCGGTACCTGAACTTCCAGCACGCTCCGAAACCATGCTAGGGGTATTCGAAATATCCAAGGAGTTGCGTTCCAGATGAGGAAACCCAGTGCCACCGCCGTTCTGTGCATGAGGATCAGCGTTGACATTGACTCTCTCGGCTTCAACGGTAACCATCGACACGGCAGCCTGGCTGGCTTCTGGGGTCAGCGCATCTGCTGCCGGGACGCCAATGACGGACTTTGGCCGGAAGAGGCCGACGAGGTTACGAGTGCTCTTCTTCATGCCACGACCCATCTTACGGATCATGATTGAGGCAGACGATGCGGTGGACGAAATGGAGAGGTTGTCGGTGGAGCTGGAGAATAGCCTTCCGCCATAGATATTGTTCCCGATGCCCCCTTCCTCCTGCTTCTTCGCGATGGCGGCCTGTTCTGCATCGTAGATTTCGGCCGCTGTCGGCTCCTTGTGCAATCTGGTCGGATCAGACACACTATTTTCGTCGATAGTAGGTTCGGGACCGGCGGCCTTTTTGAAATCGGCCGCGCTGCCAAATGAGAAGGCTCTGCGCAACCGCGATGTCTTGCTCTTGGATTTTGTACTCTTCTGGTTAATCGCAGCCAAATGCTGGGCTGCGGGGCTGCTAGCGTTGTTGCTGTTGGACGCAGTCGTGCTCTGAGACAAGACCTGTTGCGGAGCATTGCCCAGAGAGGAAGGTGGTTTTTGGGGACTCGAGTCGGTCGCCATGGTCACCGGCTTTGAGAGAGGAGAGGGAGTAGACTGCCTCTTGGCCGCATCTGACGATGAGCTACGTGGAGGAATATTCACGAGTTTAGGATAATCTTGCTTTGAAGAGCCATCATCCAAGTGTGAAGGAGTTGAAGAGGAAGAGGGGTTGCCCGTGGGGGTGGGTACGCTGCGGTTGGCAGACTGGTGGAAATAACCTTGTTAGCGATGGAACACTTGAGGATGGCTGGGCCGGTGCGTGATTGGGCAATCGAATGAAGGGATGAGGCGGAGACAGAGCGCCTCCAGCGACACCGCAAAAACCGGGAGTGACGACTTACCGAAGATGGTCTGGAATGGCTGCTGCGGCTCGATGCGAGGCTTTCAGCGCTGCCATTGCGGACATGCATGTTGTTGTCGGCGGGAGGTGCAAGACTGGAGACGATGCGAAGTGTCTTTTCGCTGTTTTTGGGAGTTGGCACGCGATCGGAACGGGAGGAATCTTCCGGGTGAGAGAATTCCTGTGGGGTTAGCGGCTTGGGATAATCGGCAGAATCAAGCGAGTGCATGCTGCGCCGCCTGAGTCGCTTGCTGTCTTCTGCACTTTGTTGTTGACTTATTTGCATGTCATCAACCGCACCATAATAACTGTTTGGTCTGCTCTGGAAGGACGGGTTCCGGCTTCGCACTGACGCGTTCTTTTGCTCATCATTGTACAAATGACTAACAGTCGCCATGCCTGAGCCTGACGGGGCGCTAGTCTGGCGAGGTTGTTGTTGCTGGAGAGCCGGGCGCCGGTACCTATCAGGCGTCGTCTTAGTCCCAGCGGTCTGAGCGAATGTCATTTGCTGTGTCGTGTTGCCTGCCAAATACGCCGACTGTGGCCTCGGGGCCTGTGAATTTGTGCGAGCAGCAGGAATGCCCGAATCGTCCCTCGAACCTCCTTTGCTCGTTCCCATACCGTGATTGTAGCCAACGTTTGATACTGAAGAGCTTCCTCCGTGACGCGCGCCTTGCGTCGGTACCGCAGGTGAAGATGCCGTGCGGTATCCGTTGCCATATTGCTGCCACTGGTTGTTGGTGTTCAAACTCGGGGTGCTGGTGAAAGCGTAGGGCTGGATTGGGGCATTACTACCGCGATACACGGCGGAACCTGAAAAGTTCCTCTGCGATTGTTGAGCAGCCATGTATTGCTGGTTCGCCTGGGCCTGTGTTGGGACCATGTTGCCTGAGGGTCTCGACTGGAGAGTGGTAACAGTGGTGGTCTGCTGGGGATACGTTTGAACCAGCGCGGCCATATTCCAAGGAGCCGTCGAGAAGAAAGAGTGGCGAACAAGCAGTCCTTCACCGGTCCTATGTTCGGGCAAGTTGCTCGAGTTCGAAGCACGGCTAGATTGTCTTACTCAAAGGGAGGGTGAAGACGGGTGATAGCGGAGCCGAGCGGTTTGCTGGCCGGATGTGCAGAATACTGAACGAAGCAGGTAAGTTAGCAAGGCTCTTTCAACTCGAGTTTGATGTCGGCATCAGACGCCCAGCAGGCCTGGCGGATGGCTGGCTGCTGTCATACGTATGGCACGACAGGAAAACGGCCGCCGGCAAGAGTCAAGGTACGAATCTAACGAACCTTTTTTTGCTTTCTCTTTTATACGAAGGTAGGAAATGGAAGAATGGTTATTCTGTCCCAAAAACGACTGACTTCTTTCTCGAAGGAAGGAAGCTGTGGTGGAAACAGATAGCGATTGTGGAAACGAAGGTCGCCTGCGGCCAGGGGTTACAGCGAGAGTATCGTCGTACTGAGAATAAAGATGATGGTTTGCTTCTCCCGCGAAGGGGCTGTTGAAGAGCACTCGTACGAGACGATGTAAAATTCGACCAAAGGGAGGCAAGATCAAGTGTCACCGAGACAACTCGAAGCAAAGCTAGCAGTCGACCGGGAACATGGAGATATGAAGCACTCGTATCCGGCTCGAAATCGCAGCTAGAGAATCGTCGGGGACGGGTCAAGGTGGTGACGAGTCAGCCACGCAAGCCTGAAGCTCGTCTTGTAATCGGGGTTTGAGATGGAGGGTGTCTCGAGATTTCGGGTCACAAAAAGAAGTTGCAGTCGTTCAGCGTGGAGAGGGTGCGGTTTGTGTTCGTGTTTTTTTCGGTTGCTTTCTTTTCTTCCTTACTCTTGGAAGGACGAACGGGCGACACGTGGAAAGGAAAGAAGGCAGAAGTAACGGAGATGCAAAAGGCGATTCAGGGGTGACAACGAGGAGACGGGGGAAGAGACGATGGATCCAAGTCGGGAAGGGGACCCTGAGAGTCAGGCAGCCTCTTGGGTATTCCGTTAATTGTTTTGGGGGAAGGGAAAAGGGGGTACGTTGGTGATGTGGGTTGAGATTTAGAGGAACGACGGTGGAATTGGGGGCAGAGAGGCGTCGGACGGGAGAAGAATAGAAGGAAGAAGGGGGAAAGAAAGGGAAGAGAAGAGACGGGATATTTTTTGAGGGGATACAGAGAGAGCAAGTCGGGTGTGGTGAGAGGGAATTCCCAGGAGGAGAGGAGGAGAAGGAGGTTTCTCTCAGGCAAAATGGCGGTTCGGGGTGGGCAGGCGCAGTGAAGGGTCGAAATGGAGATTGCCAAATGGGAAGGTTTTTGGTATCGTACCGATGGCCCATGGTGCTGCATTGGTCTGCTGGAGCCAGGCGACGATGGAGTTCCACTTTCCTGGAGACCATAATACTGCGTACACAGTACACAGTACTCCGTACCTAGTGCAGGAAATGGATCATAAAAGTACCCACGCCGCCCGTTTATGCGGGCAGAAATACATGCAATGTGCTTCCATTGCTTGTAAATGCACAATCCACCGCGGCCTTGATCCTAGGCAGGTCCCCTACCCTTGATCCCATGTACCCTGTGTTTTTTGTTACGGCAGACTGGGTGCCCCGGTTCAACGCCATCGTATCTGACTGGTCCAGTCTAGTCTTGCAAGTGCGGTTCAATGTACGGACACTTTTCCTCTCCTAACCATCCGTAGGACATTGAGGAACATTTCGGCATCCTATCTGCTCGTTGACTTTCTACAACTTGACTCTCAACTTCCTACAGTGCCTGCTTTGAGAAATAAAAGTATAAGAAGTACACACAGAACAGCTTATGTCAACATGATGGGCAAAAGGTCAGTTGTACTTGCTCCAGCATCCACTTAGGTGAGATATCACACGGCAGGCCATCAACGTATCAGTGTATTAGCTGGTGAGAGGTTCAGTTGCTGAGGACTCAGGAGAGAGCCCCCTTCCATGTATCAATGTACTGAGGAAGGTAGGTAGGAATCGAGGATATGTAGCCATGTGTGAGACTGTACCGTTCCCCTTGTTATTCTCTTCTTTCCCCATGACACTTGCTCACAGGGCGGACCCCCAAAATCTCCCCCGAAAATAACCCAAACAGGAAAGGCCAGGACGCGTCCCTTGATCTCATGGGAAGGACGTGAGGACGTATTTCTACGCAGTAGTCGGCTTGGAGAATTTTGGCAATCTGTCATTGGGCGGATGAACGAAATGCGGCAAATCACAACCACGCTACCCCTTGCTCCTAAGTGACTGAAATGCCCGCCGCGCTCAGAGTGCCACGAGTGCCTCCTTCCCGTGTGCCTGGTGTCCCAAATGAGGAAGCCCCAAGGGATTCGGGAAACAACAAAAAACACAGCCACAACATTCAATCCAGCACTTACCGTGCCGGCCCACCATTGCCGCGCGCCCGTCCCTATTCACTACTACTTCGTAAAGGTAATGTACGGGGTAACTGCTCACTTTTTTACGTACTCGGGTGGGTAAGGTAGCCCTTGAGGCTTTAGCATCACCAGAAAGATGGCAAAGGTGCAAAAGCAAGAGCTACAACAACCACATACTCCCTAAGGAACGCAAAAAACCATACGAATGCTCAACATGATCATCTTAACTCTTGTGTATGCAGAGAACACCACCGTTACCTGCAACCGCCATTCCCATGCGGCACCGGGCATAGGTCCGGGCACTGTCAGAGGAGAAAGATGGGATGCTCGAGCTCAAAGATGCAACACCGCCTCGGAAACTTGTTTAACGCGCAACGTCGATCCATCGCGCGTTAAACAATCGTCCAAAGAGGTGGAAACGAAACGCCCAGCTCTCGAAGGCCTTCCCCTCAACGTTTACGCTCCAAAGCTCGCCCGTGCTAGATTATCCGACCTCACACTGCCGAGTCTTCACGGTAGCCGTACGCCTCTTCAGCCTCCCTCGCTAGAGGACCCTTACGCTTGGTACACGACAGCACGGTATGGATGTACAAGCTACTCAAGTGCCCAAGTGCTCAAGTGCTGAAATCCAGCGGAGAGCCAGTTCTTCGGGATCGAGGCACACGCACACGCACACATACCCAAACCTACTGGGCTCTAGACTCCCACACGATGGGACGAAATGCAGATTCTTCGGCTCGACCAATGTCATCAGCCCATCAGCAGATCCCACCAAGGGACGCATGTATACATAATACCTAGATGCTTTCGCACTTTTGTCTAGACCGTCTGGATTCACCAGCTACAAAATTTACCTAGGTCGTCGATGCATCTCTCGGCGGACTAGACGACAGACCGCCACGGCGGTACAACAACATGCCTCGCCAACAATCCCAGCCAATCACCATCTGGTTCGCCTCAATCTTGTCTCTGGAACTGTCTCTCCCCCTTCTGCAGTGCAGTCTGCGGCGCGGGTACAGTCGTCAGTCACCGGTTACGTGTGATAATCGGCGGATACGAAGGGGCAGAAGGGAACGCTTCTCCGTATTCAACTTCACAAAGTACCCCACCATGGTGGCTTTGCCATGCTAGAGGTGGTGAGGTAATGCTACCTGCATATCGGAAGGGATGGCGTCCCCTGCCTGTTTTCGACAGGGAAAAAATTGCAGGGCCACTTCACCAACCTGCTCTGTCCACCCTCCGCCTCCCACCCCACGAGCAAGAGACAAGGCCAATTCGTTCGACTTGTGCGAGCATCTGGGAGACTGGAGCATACTGGACTTATTGCCGCCGCACTTGATCCAAAAGGCCTGGGCGTCCGGGTGGTCACCGACAGGGAGAAGTAAGATAGGGGGGGGGGGAGAAGCCGTTCGTGATGGACTCCGCAGGTTGGCGACATCAGCAACACCCTTACCAACAAACCCGGAAAACGTGATTTATATCCGAACCTCGACGCCTTGCAGAAAGAAGGCAGATATGCCGTGTGATTTTGTCTTATCCACGGTCTCCAGGAGACGCTCTCGGTGCCGCTCGGGCAATCGACCGTTGACTTCATATATACGCGCACTGTACTCTGTATTCACAACAGTAATACCGCACACGCACATAGTAGTGATACAATCGCCCACGCTCACTAGGCTGTACCCCGACCTGCCCGATTGATACATTCAATCGGCCGCTCTTGACAGCGCTGATGACGTTGGCTAGAGCTCAGCCTCCGATCTGATCTGATCTTGAGGCTTGTTGATATTGCAATGTTCATGACCTCACTTGAGCTTCCCTTCTTTACTCCTTCATTCTTTCATACATACTCGCTCTTCCTGCTCTTCCTTTGACTTTGAGCCTTAGCTCGCTTTTTTACACTATATTTAGTCCACTGCGAGAGATCAGCCAGGGGTCCACAAGACAAGTCGTCGACCAACGACCAACGGGTCGCCAGTGGCACAGAAGCGGCGGGCAATGGAGAGACATTCGAGGTATGTTGTACGTGGGATGCACGAGCACTTACATGCAAAGGGGCAACGCTATGAGCGGCCCACTACGTACATGTACTTCTCGCACTGCAGGTGGCGGCGACAGCTACACACAGTACCGGCAAGCAGAACAAGCACAACACGCACACACGAGATTCTCACAGGCTATCGGACGGATTCTTGTTGGCAACGACAACGGGGATGAGGTGGAAACGACGCTAGCAGGCTACAGATTAGCATGCTCGCTAACAGGCCATAATCGCTTCTCGTGGCGATGCGGCGGCGGCGTTGCGGCCCCTACAAACTTTCCGGCGCCCCTGCCGATGAGATATGATGTGCTCGCATGCTAGGAATCTAGCAGGAAGCTGGAGGATGTGAGACGAGATCAAGTTCGTAAAGATACAAATGCGGAACATCCGATCCAACAAACCCGCACAAGTGCGAATTTAAAGGAAGCCAGAGTACGCATGCAGATACCGCTCCGATGCGGCTCTCAGCCTGTATCATGCGACGGGCACCTTTGAGATACAAAGAGCTGCTTTGAATTGTGGTGAAATGAGGCAGGCATCTCTTGCTGGGGAAGGCCAACGGACAGCCCCTGCTAATTTTCCGTACTCCGCATCGCAAGCTATTCGTACGGATAGAAGCTCATGCTTTGGAAATGAAGGGAAGGTTTTCCGTCAGCAACCACCGAAACAAGTCAGGACCCGCCAGCATGACGAACAAGGAGACGCCCCGTCGCAAGCAATTTGCTTCTGACTGCGAATGCTCTTTGCTATGCAACGCACAAACTCCAAATGGTTGACAGACACTTCAGCCCTGCGGTGCAAGCTATTTAAGTGTATTCGAGAACAAATGGGGCCCCTGGAGCAAAGCATGAAGTTGTTGCACAGAGGGAGTGCGGATACCCAGAGCACAACTACCTATTTTTTGCAGCTCATGTTGTTTTTCCATTCCATCTACGCATTGATCTCGAGATTTGCCATGCTCAGCCAGGGAGCACTTAATTACCATGGATGATGCGCCCATGCCCGTGGTCCTAGGCTGCTTTGCTGGGCTTTTGCAAAACTCGAACAAGTCTGTTCACAGACGATGCATCCAAGCACCGCACCAGGTCATCGCTCAATTTCTCGATGCTGAAGTAAGCATACAGGGTCAAGGTTGGTCAGAAGATCAGATCATGTCCGACCGGATCTTGAGCGGCATCGGACAAGATTGCAGGACAACGGCAAAGGTGGAGTGTGGACAAGAAGTTGAATACATGACCGGCATTCAGTTTTCGAGCACAGTTGTCAGTCAGTATTCCGGGCGGATATCTACCCTGGCTACGCCGCCGCAGCCGTTGCTTCTCATCCGCTTCTCTGATTGCTGGCGCTGATTGGCATCAACATCGTTGACGTCTGTGCCTAGCAGGAAGCTTCACCTAGGGCAAAGACAATTACCAAGATGCTTCGCAGGCAATGACCTTGGCCGAGAACGTCTGAAAGGGAGGCCGTAGGAGCCGACGGCTCGCACCTACTGCAGGCGCGAGGCAAAGCCCAAGCCAGGTGACGGGTGATTGATCAAGGGTGACTCGATCATCTCGACAGAAACGAGCCGCTGTCTGCTTGAAACGACAGTCCCAAACGCCGATGCTTCAACGCGTGCGGTATGTGATTTCGATGTTGACAGGTGCTTCCTTGCCAGTAGAACTCTATTGGGTATGGAAACGCTTGCGGTCACCACTACCACCCGGAGCTTGGAGGAAAGGGATTCCTTCTGTCTCAACCTGCAAAGACGGCACGACAGAGTTCGGACATGCATGGCTCTGGCAGTTGTCTCGCTCGTCCGGTCTTGCGAGTTTGGCGGTCCAAAGGCTCATGCCTTCCGTCAAGTTTCCATCATCCTCGACATACTTTCGGCAGCTTCCAGCTACATCTTCTCCACGAGTCCAGGCCTACACTACCTTAATCAGAATTGAGGTGTTACTTTCAGCTTGTCTGTCTGGAGCAAAGCCTCCGCGGGAATTATGAAAGATTTCCGACTACACCCCAGTCCCTGTCCCCGACATCTCATGGGCAGACTTCCTGGATCTCAGTCGCCAAATCTTTTCTCCTTTCGCGGCTTCGCCAGACTTGAACTTTCTCTCTATTGTTGGACTCGATCATGACGCTACCTTGAAGCTGCGCACCGGCATAGAAACAAGCTCACCTGCAGCCTCCACTGACAGAAACCCCATCCGCAATGCGAGTCTATCTCTGCCCGTATGGACTGTTAGGAGGGCTTGAAGGGCCGTCAATCAACTCGACTGGACATTCCAACCAACAAACCATCTCGATGTACGGCTACATATTCACTATCAAGCCCCAGGAGTACGGAGCACTCGCCGCCCTCTCCCGCGAGTATGACCCGATCTGGCAGAACATCACCGAAAGGGGCCGCCGCTCCCTCTCGGAACCTCAGTACTCGATGACGCGGGCATATCGGTCGTCGGCAACGTATCAGGCCAGTCAAGCCGGGCCACATCTACAGAGACAGCATTGTCTAGCAATTACATGTGCAGGGTCGCAAGCCTGCGCGGATTAGCTCGAGTCTTGAATATGCTAACCTCAGATCTGATGCTTCTTAAGAGACTTTATTATACCGAACAACAGCAGCGGCGAAAAATATGGCACCTGTTTTGCTGCCCGATGAGCCGTGTCTCGGCACTCAGTATCGTGTCCGGCGGAAGGCCATGAAGGGCTCTACACTATCCGTCCGCTCAATGTCGTGCCGAAGCAGAGTGCAATGAGCTTCCACGGACCACATGTCCCACCCTTCTCCCTCGTCAATTGGGTGTCTGGGCTCGTGATGCCCTTCTAGCAACTTCCTCGCGTCTAGGGCCGAGTTTTTCTCGAATTGTTCGGTTGGGAGGAGGTGCGCTCAACGTCTGGACTAGCCCATGCGGGAATCGAGCCCACGGGTCTTTTCTTTTGTCGGCTGTTTCAATCTCACCTGGCCCCCAAGCTTCAGCCCAGCACGGTTTGCAATATTGATAAGCGGCCCATCCGTCAAAAGGCTGATACGGTGATACCTTATTCGACAGTCGCGCGCCCACCGCGTCCGTTCCACCCGCCACCGGCAATGACAACAAGCACAGAGGCGCGACCGGCTGCATGAGAAGGCTTCCTTTTCCCTCATCTCGGTCAACTGGGATGGCTTCAATCCATCATTTCTTCTGATGCAGTGCGGGGGAGCAATGGCGAGCCATTATTGGTTCAGCCCGGATCCCGTCCACTGCAACGCTGCAGCTTCACATGCGCTTATCCTGCTGCGCGCTCTCAGGCCTTGCGGGGGAATCGACCACACCAACGCGCGACCCTTTTTTTTTTTTAGAGAGAGAGAGAGAGAGGGCAGCAGCGCGATTCAGAGGGAAATGTGCTCTCGAGATTCAAACAGTCTCGCGGCACGGACCCATCAAGCCTGTGTCAATTTGCACGATAGTGTCCCTGGATCGCTGGATCTGAATGATGGATCTGGCAGCACAACGCAACACGATGTCCTATCAACGCAAGCACGGCGAGCTTTTTCCAATAGTCAGTGTCAGTATGTGAGAGCAGGGCATCCATCTCAGTCTTCTATCTGGATCACCCTTGCACACTGCAGGAGGAACAACGATACGACGCCTCCTCCAAGCTCAAATCCATGATATCTGCGGATGTCCTGGCAGCATCGCTGAAGATCAGACGCATTCTGTGGAGATTGTCCTATCAAGATCTTCTTGGCCCCGGACCGACTTGGTAGTGATCGCTTCGGGGTTGGATAGCAGCCATCAACAGTGCTCTGAGGGGTTTGCTGCTTGGCTACCAGTTGTGACCCTGCCAACACACTGCACACGCACACACGTAACAAACGAGCAGTGGGATATTCAGGGTCTGATCCATGGAAGTCGCCATGGCGTATCCTCAATGGCCTATACTACGACTACTGTTATGCAGGACAGCCCGAGATCCAAGTTTGCACCCTTGTTTCGCTATTGTCTGCAAAGATGAAATCGAAGGCGGTCTTCCAGAACGCAGCAGAAGCTTTTGCTTCAAAAATCTCGAATATGGGGTGTTTGGCCAACGTTTTCCCCATGGCGGGAAGTGGAAATTATCGAGAGTTTTCGCCGATTGCCTCAGTTGCGCGGCCCCCCGTTTTCGCCCACAGACTGGCGCAAGCAAGCCACGAACAACAGTGCCAGATCATGAGGCCCGCTCTCGGTCACGGAGCGAAACAAGTGGCTCTCGAGAGTCGAAGGAGTTGAGGACTGAGGGACTCGCTAGCAGTCTTGCACAGCGTCTTCTGTCGCCCCACGATCAAGGGTTGTGGGTTCCTGGCGTCGTGTTCTAGTCGGCAGCGCGACTATCCACAACGCCATCGCCCGTATAGTCTAGCGGCAGGATGACGGGCGACGATCATTTTACCAGAGACAGACCGTCTCTATTTCGTCGTCCGTTCTGGCGGGCCGTGTACGACACCCGCAACAAATCGCAGCGCCAATTGATCGTGAAAAAGGCAACGCAAGTACTTCGATCAAGTTCCAGCTGCAGCAGACGGCGCACCACGAGCGCTGCAAGCGATGCAGACGATGCAGGTCAAAAGGCAATGGCGCGAAGCACTCCCGATAAGGCCACACTGGCCGGTCCATCGGTGATATCTTGCAGGACCCATTCTCCTCCACCCGTGCGTACGATCCCAGGGCCCGAGGGGGCTTGCGAATGGCGTGGCCAAGACCGGGCATGACCCCGAGTTTGTCCACTGAAGTCTGACGGGGACGCCCCATCCTGGATGATGGATCACGGATTAGTTGCGGTGAGATGAACGGAACCAAACCTCCATCCCCGCACTCATCAATTCCATGCCACGGATCACTCTCATCTAATTAGTGTATCCTGCCGAGGCCGGGAGGCCAAGACGACTTCCGCGAGCGATTAGCGAGGCTGAGTAACTGATTCTGCGATGGTTTAAGCCACAGTCATCGGAGAAATGATCAAAGGGGATGCCAATTGAAGCATTTCGATAAATCGTCAGGCCCAGGTCAGCCGGCCGCACGCTCCAGCCACTGCGATGAGTTGGCCCCCAATAGCACGGCACCTCGAGGCGGCCAGAGTCCTCAAAGAGACCAAGAAGACAGGTATCCCAGTCCAATGGCCCGCCGTTCTAGCAATCCAACTTCCCCGAACCCACTGGATATGGCTCATGTTCAGTTCCAACTTGGAAGTCCTCATCTTTATCCATGTGAACGGAAGCCATTCCTGGACATGTGGAGCCTTAAGAGGTGAGTTATTCCCCGCTTATGGCCGTCAACTGACCATTTATGAGCGAAACGACACCATGGCTGTACCGACCGCTTCCACTATCGAGGCGACCTTCCTGGCCGAGATACCAAACGGGACTCGACAAAGGCATTCACTTCGCAGCGTGACTGTGCAGATGGAGCATTGCCGCCCGTTCTTCTCTTAAAGTTCGTATGTATCTGTATCCGTAACCATCCCTGTTTTTCGGGGCCTTCATGTTCACACCGGCACCATCACTCTTCCGAGCCAAGCCGGGTAGTGGCTGTCATACTCCAGACGGCCGCGAAAGACGGGCCCTTTGGTCCACTCCCGTACGCGGTCACCTGCAGTGGTGTAGCACGCCGTGCAACAGTATCAACAGTACCGAGAGCTTTCCCATATCAGTGAGCGAAGAGACCGATCGTTCAACGTCGGGTCCGGCGCGGAACCTGCTGCGGGAGACTGACACGCTTCCCTCTCAGCCCTCTCCGAGATTGTTCCACGGAAACATACAGGTACTAAGGCAAGCTCCGCTAAACTCTTCCTTACCTGCGGTGAAGAGAGGGGGAGGACATGTGTCACCGCCGACCCAATAGACAGGATGCGGCGTCGCACATGGCTCGCGAGACGCTGTACGATGGATGAAGAAAGTTTTTCGCTAGGCATTTTCCCCTTGGCTTGCCGATGTCGTGCGAGATTCCACGCGATCTTCCCTGAGCGTTGGGCTGTTTGGCCCGGGTCTCCCAAGGAGATCGCGTCGTCTGATGGGCAGGCACGCGAGTTGGTTGCACGACTATCGGCCATCTGGCTTCCGAGATATCTCCACCATCGGGCCCGAGGCCGTGGTGCGTCTCCGGCCCAATCGGGGTAGGCGGGCCGGCGGCATGTGTGAGCCTCCCGCGGGTGGCACAGATAGTATGAGTGTCGCCTTGGTAAGTACAATATTCCATATTGTGCTGGCAATGAATCGAAAGCGTGGTAGGTAAATAGTTGTTGATTTGCTATTCATTCAGTTTCCCTTGCCATGTTGACCTCGGGACGGTTCTGGGCTTGCGACATACCAGCCAAGAGGGCAGCATCGGATTCTTGACCAAGCCTCCTTCATCCGTCCCATTTCACGGTTGACGTGTTCCAGAGGCCGTTACTTGAAAAGCGGTATACATGCTGTGCGCCTCTGCGATGTGACCATGATGCTCAAAATGATGACTGACTTCCAACGTCAGCTCCCTGATCCTACCTACTCTTTTCGCCTTGGTATCAGAAACTCCCAGGAGGAGCCCACTCTCTCTCTCTCGCTGTGCGATATCTGTCGGAGTTGGCTTCAAGATTGCAACAAAACGAAAAGACACAAAAGAAACAAGGGGCAAGTTAACATGTAGTAAAAGTCAAATGTGTACACCAGCGATGGCTGAGTGTAGTAATTCTTTCCCGCACCGCTGGGTATTTTCATGGTTCTTTCTGTACTTTCTGGTTCACTTTCTTCCCCTACGACTAGCCGGTAGCAAATTGGGATAGATATGGCTGCTTAGGTACTCTTCCCTGTGTGAGGGCTCTTATTCCTCAGGCTTTACTGGCTTTAGAGGGCATCAATCTGAATGGCAACTAGCTTTCAAAGTAAATCATAGGCGACAGAGTAGATATGCATATAAGACAGCAACATTCACGGATAATATGCCCCCGTTGGTTATTGTAAAGTTTCGTGGTTCTATGCTAGTAAATTAATCAACACGAATTGTAGGAAGGGGAAATGCTGTGCATGGAGCGAACCGGATTAGAAAGAAGAAGAAAAGAGCTGGTAGGTCTCGGGTGCGACTCTCTTAGCCCCGTCAAATCTCTTTGTGTTTCTCCCTGTGTGAGTTGTAGTGATTCTCTCATTCGTAACCTTCTAAAGTCGCCTGATAGTTCATAAAGTTGATGAAATGTATATCAATATCCATCTCGTTGCTAGGGCGACGGAGGTGATGAGTGACTACTTGGGTGCCTTGGAAAGAAGGTCACTCTGATGCCACGTGAAGCGTGTGCTTCATCTCCTGATGGGAAGACGGGGACCACTTACCAATAGCTCCTGCCTGGGTAATGTGCTTGGTGCGCAAAGATGGCCTCTAGGCGGGCGGCGGCGTCCTTACCTGAAGGGTGTAAATTCCATCTGATAGACTATTCCGCCCCGCCTGAATATACAACAACAAGCCTTCATATACCCCTCCAAGTCCATTCTCGTCACCAGCACAGCAGGCGCCTTCTAGGTCGGGGGTCAGGTCAAACTGTGGCGTGGGTGGTGGAATGGTTCATGGTCAACAAAAACTTTCCGTCCATACAGCCTACTCGACGACAGGCTAAGACTTCGAGTTCGATTCTCCCACCATGAGCATCAAGAGACGTAGCCTCCAAACCGGCACCAGGGGGGCGAACTCTTTTGATTTTTGTTTTGATTACCTTGGGAGGCTGAGACCGTATGGACTGCTCGAAACTCCAATGCTGTCTCTCGATGACCCCAAACTTACTAGAGCGAGATAAAGAAGTAAAAGGACCTAGATACGGGCATGGTGGCGGCATCTCTTTGTTGTATAATATACATGATATGCTAAAGCGAGTGACTGTCCTCGGAAGCTGGATTTCACTCAGGCTATTCCGCCGAAATTCAGTGAAGCTGGAAGGAACGACACCCTCGCACAATGGCCTTGGCAACGGCGCTGTGGTCACCTCCATCGCCGAGTACGTTGATGAGGCAACCTATTACAAACTTCCGCCATCATTCTCGAGTACCTGGGTGTTTGGTAATCATGCTTCGTTTCCTGAGATGTGTTCTGTGATTGGACGTTGGAGATGAATGTCCAATGACCTAGGCAGGAAGATTTGTCCAGGGCCAGTGCGCATGATGAGCAACAGTGGGAAAGAAGTGGTCTCTAGCGAGCAAAGAGACCAAGGCAGGGGTATGTTCTTACTTTGCTGTTTTAAACTCCATTAGAGGGCTGCATCTTATTTTTAAACACTGTCTTTTCCTCGGGAATTGGCAATTTGATATCGGTGAAAAGGGGTGGTTGTTGAGCCCTGTTGGGGCACGCGGTCGTACCAAATGTAGGACTTCCCATTTCCAGAGGAAACATTGGCATTCAAGGGACCAACTGATGAAGATAAACGGAACAGGAAGATATGAAGCGTTTTGTTCTAAGAACAAGGGTTCGTACAAGCAGAGGATTTCGAAGGGGTGCTGGCTGAATGTATTGTTCTGAGCCTCATGTCGGAGTCCGTGACAAGGTAGATGGGCGCGCGGGCCTGTACTTTCAAGCTCGTACCCCGTTGTCAGGGGGCATCTAGCTTGGCCGCGGATCAGTGGCCGAGCCGGGGTGATGATCGATTGCTGCAAATGTTTGTGGATTGGCGGGTAGGCGGGTGGCCGATGAGACAAGTTTGCTCGACTATTTGGTGACACGTCTGCCGGGGTATGGGAGCAAAGGCCCTATAAGATGGTATGCGCATTCGAAGTTGATATGACTGGAGAGAAACAAGTCTTTCGAGTATGGATATGTCACTCGCGAGGAGGGTCTGCTGGGTGATGCTAGGTTCAGTAGACTGACATTGATATCCGTACAGATGGCGACGGTGTGACCAGTTGTGTCGAGTTGTACGTCGTGCTCATGGAAGAGCAAGAGTCTTGTGCTAGTCGTCGGTCAAGCCTTGTTTGGTCCGATGTCAATCACGGAGGGACAAGAGATTTCGACTCTCCAGCGGACGAAGAGCACTTCAAGAACTCGACGTGTGTTAACTCTTAAGTAGACTTATTCGAATTCCTGAACCTATGTCAAAGTTTAAGTTTGCTGGACTGCCACTTCTAGACTGTAGGGATGCGATGCCATGAACGAGGGGAGGTGGGTAATTCGGCAATCGAAGATGCGCTCAAAAGTGGAAAACGCGAGGAGGCTCTCAAAAGCATACGTTTTGTTGCCCTGATAGAATGTCGATACCAAGCCGCGGTGTACACTGGATCTCCAAGTGCCTGAAACAGGATACCGTTTTAGTACTACAAGCGAGAACTGAATCATTTCCGAGGTTGAAAGTAAGACCCCGATTGCAACCTGGGCAAGTGTCTTGCCAAACAAGCAGAGCTATCTGTGTCAGGAGTAGCTCAGCTTGTCCATGTAAACCTCAGAGCGTCTCAAGTCCTCGATCTGAAGGCCAGAGGCCTGGATCAAATTGAAATTAGTTTGCGCAAATGTTCCCCTTTAAAGATGCCCTCTCTTCCGAGAGAGTGGCATAATGGCTGCTTGATGGCAATTGCAGCTCAGCCTGGACTTCCCTTGGGATGAAGTGATAGCAGGACTGAAAGACGCGATATGTGCTCTGGAACAGGCCTTACACGAAGAATCTTATTATAATTGTCATAGCCGCTTATGGCTGGGACATGAATGCGTACTTGATCATGCTCATCTGTCCACGGTTGGGATATTGGCAGGGATAGCTCTGCAATGACATTGACGCCAAGAGAACAGAGGAGGTGACAACCATTCGCTCGCACCCACGCACCATCAGATTCAATCTTAATTCAACTCTCAACCAATCATCTGAGAGGGGAAACAAAGTCGAGAAGTGAATACGACTTTTTGCTGAACATGCAAAACTGATGAAAGGGAAGCGATCTTCATCTTCAATCCCCAACAGCGTCGGCCATGTTCCGATCGACGTTGGATTAACCTCGAAAGTCTAAAAGGCCAGGCCAAGTCACTAAGAATGCAAACGTGCCAACCAAATGTCAAAACCCCCAAAAACCCCCCCGGGGGAAAGAAATGTCTCACCGGGATCGTAACGTACAGTGACGATCATCGAACGTTTTTTTGTACCGGCTAACTTATAATGGGCATCGCACCCCAGCTTTCCCTAGGACTTCTAGCCCGCTTCCCACCCCGCCTCGGATTGATGATGCGGCGCTCGAGAATTTCCCGGTCGCGTCGGCTATTGGGGGAGAGAGAGAGAGAGAGAGAAGCCAGCCGACTGACGTTCAACGCCGTTAATTTTAAGAGTCTCGGAGAAAGTTAAGTATGAGAAACAATAAGTCTAGATGGTTTTTGCCGAATTGGCCGCCCAGGACCCAAGGCTAGTAGCGAAACCTGCACGTTTCCTACTTCTTACAAGAACAAACGTCACGTCAACTGTTGACTGTCGCTCTGCGCTGTCTCAGCTGCCACAAATGGGGCGTGTCCCGTTGTCTAGTGTTACCCAGCACATGAATCGCTCGTTGCACAAGAGACATAAGTACAATAAAATTATCCGACGATGTTGGTAATTTGGCGGCTGACTGATCCGTGGCTGGTGAACTTGTCAAGACGTCTCTTTTCATGGATAAGCGCCATCCAAGTCCGACAAAATGGTGGAGGCTGATGCTGAAGCATGTATTATCTACGCTGGACAATAGCGCTTATTGGAGCTTTGTACTCCGTGCCAAAGATTGAATACTGCTAGGGATGATATCGCAGTGGCGGTACAGGTTCCTTCGCTCATGGTAGGACTCAAAGGTTCTTGAGAACCCGGAGCGAAGGACCTTAAATCCTCCGTGTGACCTCCCACCTCACCGGTCCCTTGACCGCGGCAAAGTTTGATTTCGAAGCAATTTTACGTAGATGCTCAAGTTGCCGCGGTTGAAGGTTCACTGGTGAGCACTACTGACTGGATTCCGCGTGAGATTTCGGCTGTGCCATATTCTCCGTCCGGCTTAGGGCTCCCTCCGCCACGGTCAGCAACAACGAGATTTTAGACTGTCGCGGCTATGCTCTTTGCACCTTGTTGCTTACTACCCTGTCATGATCCTGTCTTCTCTTTTCAAAGCCTGGTCAGTGAATCGACGGAAGTTTTGCATCACGAATGCTTTCAAATGGGTGAAAGGCTCTTGGCGTCAAGTGGCACGAAAATAACACGAAGCGAGAGACTTACAGCAACCGAGCCTGGGCGGCTGTTAATTGTCAACCATGTTTTTGTTTTGCCAATGAGAACCCATGTTCGTTTCCATCTGAATGTCTTGGAAGTTGAGAATCCGTCAGTCACCGCATTTCCCCGCCATGCAAGTGTCCTGATTATGTACCTAGAAATTTCCGCTGGCTGTTGTGGTTCCTCTTTTGTTACTTTGCCTCCTCACCCGCATCTCGCCGTCTTGTTACTCTCTCTCAAGTATGCGCGCGTATTATTGTCTTGGCGCCTTTGAATGAACCTGGCTCGAGTGGGCTTTTAGAGGATCTTCATCTGACGGGGTGCCAGAATCTGACTCTCTTTATCCGTACCTACTCTCTTCAACCCATACAGGTACTGGGGCACACCCACACGCCCACCCCCACCCCCCCTCCAGTTCCATGGGCGCGGGGACTTCTTTCTTCCCTCTTTGGCGGAGTCGCGGAATAGACTGGACTGGCCATCGCTTGACGGTTGACCCAAGGAACCAAGGAATCAAGCTATGCAGGCCAAAGTGCCGTGTGGAGGCGAACTCCTTGGCCGCAGTAAGTACACTGTTTGTTACGCCCAACCTCGTGAGATAGCTGCGTTTGTTTGGGAAGAGTACCTTCTTTCTCTCCGACTCTGGGCCCTATCTTTGCCCCGGAATGGAGCAGGTACCTCCTGAGGGATCCGTCAAGATCTGTCTCCCAGAGGACCGAAAGGTAGGATAAAGAGGTCCTCCGTCCCCCTTCTTCACGCGGCTTGCTATTCACCACCCTTAAGCCCATTTCTTTCTCTCTGCCTCTCTTGAGGAAAACTTTAATGCTGCTTATATCCTAATAAGAATCCATCCTCAGGCCTGCTCATATTCCGACTTACACCAACACACCAGAAACGATGAAGCCATCCCTCCTCCTCCCCTTCGTGACCCTGGCCTCGGCCATCTGCCACCACCGCACATCGCTCTACCGCCGGAGCCACGGCGGCATCGCGCCCCGCGGCGAGGACGGCCAAGTCGAGGTTGCAAAGTTCGGCTACGACGACCTCACGGGTCCCCTCAACTGGCACGGCCACAACAACCAGTCGTCCAAGTGCGCCACGGGTGCCTGGCAGAGCCCCATCAACCTCAACGACACCTCGGCGACGCTCGTCGCCGGCACGAGCTTGGCCTTTGATGTGCCTAACCTGCTTCACGGCGCCGCCTTTGAGAATCTGGGCAGTACGCTCGAGGTCGTGGCTGAGAATGGCACGCTGATGAGGCGAGGGCGCAAGTTTCATTTGAGGCAGTTCCATTTCCATACGCCTAGTGAGCATAGGGTTGATAGCGAGTACTTCCCCATGGAGGTTCATTTTGTTTTCGAGGCCGATGAACAGCAGCTGAAGAGTGCGTCTCCGCTTCCCTTCACTTCCCCTCTTTTGCCCTCGTTCCTTTACAAGTTCCTCGTTCTCGTCAAAAAACAATGAGCCAAGAAACCCAACTTGTACAAACTTGCTTTTACGGTTTCTTGTTGACCATTGAGATATGGGGACTTGTGGATCGTAAGGGTAGAGAGACTGGAGAACCAAAGCGAATGACTGACTAACTGCTTACCCTTCCCCCATAGACTCCACCGGCCCCAGCAACTCCGTCGTGGGGTTCCTCATCGAAGTCGACAACAGCGCACCCTCGCCCTTCCTAGCCAACGTCTTTGCCCACCTCGACGAGGTCGAGGAACCGGGCTCGCACGCCGAGACCGAAGAGCTGGACTTTGGCGAGCTGAGGCGCCTCCTGGAGGGGTCGGACGTCTACCAGTACGACGGCTCCCTCACGACGCCGCCGTGCACCGAGGGCATCGCGTGGAACGTCGTGGCGGAGCCGCTGAGGGTCGACGACGTCACGTACCGCGCCGCCAAGAAGGTGATGAAGTTCAACTCGCGGTATACGCAGAACGTGCCCGGGCAGAGGAACTTGTTGGAGAACTCGAGGGTTATGCTCAATGCCGTGTCCCCGTGAAAGAGGGTATTGGCCCGGAGGGAGTGTAGCTAGCTACTGGCTACAACTAGAGTAAGAGGGGTAGGCGAAATTTAGAGATGTGGAGGAAGCAACGATATTTGGGGTGCGTGTGGGCTGTTCCATCTGGTTGTGCGTATTTCTCGGGGTTGGGTGGCTCACGATGTGGATCTTACGGAGACGGAGTTTTGGCTCAATTGGCGTTTATGACGGGTGCTTCTACGTATGGACTTGCATACGGATGTGGGAAATTACATAGGAGGGAGTTTGGCGAGCATACACATTGTGCACATGGGTGGTCATACAAATACGGAAAAAGACGGCTCGATGTGGTGGGAGCTTGTGTAAGTAGATACGAATACAGCGTACAGATCTCACAATACAATCAACGCATGACAGGGTTCACGTTTCTCGGTATGGACGAAGCACAGGGTTCCAAGAGATAAGAGCAGTCATCGCAAACTTAAATGTATTACGTTGTATTCTAATGAGCAAAAGTCAACTCCATGGTATCTTTCCTTAAACACCTTTCGAGCACCAGTTATTATCGTCCACGGAGTCCGCGCTCATACAAGAGTCATGTTCTTGGAGACTCTGGTCGTAAATTGTGCCAGAGACTCCTCTCTCCCATTTCCGATGACTTTGTCCCTTGGCAAAAAACCCCGGATTTGCGGCCATGGCTTTGTCCGCCTTCTCCGTTGAATGGCGAAGAGCAAATCGTATCCGCATGCAGGGTGTGGAAGAAAAAAGCAATGAACGACATGGACGGACGTTGACCGGAGCGATGTCACGCTCTTGGGCCCGTCTGGTTTTCGTCTTGGTTCTCTCTCCGCAATATGGCGGCGGCGTACATGAAGCACCCCAACCCCGGACAGGTTGATAACTTGATGGAGCATCCGTACCTCAAGGGTGGAAAGAAGGGAGGCTGCTATTGTGCGAGTATCCGTAAAGCGATGAAAGGCCCAATTGCGAAGCGACGGAAGAGGTTGACGACGCCATCGTGTGATTGGTGGCCCGTTTCGATGGCCCCTGGTCCGATTCAACGGTTTTCACTTGGCACAATTCAAGCTCTTTCTGCTACTCGTTGGCGCGAACTTTGCCAAGACACCGGAATGGAAATGTGAGTGGTTTGACCAAAGGGATTGGGTACGCGGACTATGATGCTCATGTGGAGTGTAGAGTGGAGATGAAGATGGACCATTGACTCCAAGTCTTGTCTTGCGTGACGTGACCGCGGAGGCGCGTGTGGGAGGTCGGGGCGCAATTTCGCAATGATGAATTACAACTTTCCCAATGGGTCTCCTGGTCTTGGCTCTCGGCATGGCATGCACGTCTCGGCTATTCCTGCCTCCCCTCACCTCAGCCTGCTGCATCTACCTATCTTTCACTCTGCGGACTTTTGTTCTTGCAATGGGCAATGGAGCAAACACAGAACGAGGCAAGACAGAGATGGGCAAGGGGGGAGAGACCTGGGGATCGGAGGCCGAATTTTGCGGTTTCCCGCTTGGCGTCGGAAGCCGCGTGCCGGTTTCTTGAGCCTTGTGGGGCACCACCGGTCTCGCCGATTCCTTGGCGGGGCTTTCGCGGTCCGATCGCATGCGGCGACGGCGAAGGGACTGCGGGTTGCTGCCGATCAAGTTTGGGGTTGTTTTTGGTATCGGTGCTTAATGTCGATTCCTGGAAAGGCCCTCGTGATATGCATTTCTTTTCCGGGGGGGGGGGGGGGTTCCTCTCGAAACATTAAGCACTTCAACTCGATGAACAACCTAGTCCCGCTTGAAGACGCTGCGGGCCATGTCCGTGAAGGAACGGCCGCCGAAGAGGAACTGGGAGCTGTGGCGCCCGCAGTGGGTGTAGACGTTGACGGTCTGAGAGTGGGAAGACTTGCGCTTCGAGGGGCGCGGGCAGTCAGTAGAGACTGCTCTTCTGTGGGTGAAGGTCTCTGAGCCTGCCGAGATGGAGCTTGCGTCTGAGCCGGCGCGGCTGCTCTTGGGACGGGGAGCGTCGAAGTTGGGGGTGTTGAGTGAAGACATGATGTAAGAGGTTGATGTCTTTTGATCTGGCGTTTGTTTATCTGAAAGTAGATTTCTTCAATGAATGGATGAATCGGTTGAAGATTGGATGATGATTGTACAATGCAATGATGGACTCGTCCAGACCGCGGGGGAGTCGTCCTTAAATGCTTAGAAGCTCGTCATTGCCAGATACGGCTACACGGCGATAGTTTCTTGGCTTCTTGCTTACGACCGCTTGGTCGGCATGGATTCACGACGCCTGGTCTAAGAATGCTGTGCCCCGAGTGGCCGCTTGCCGACTTGGCCGGGTTGCCGGTCGATAGCAGCCCCACACAAGGGCCGGTCTGCTGGACACGGTTTACCCCATTGATGTGACACCGCGACCGAATGCGAGCCGCGGAGTGCGTGAGGTGGACCTTGGCCTCGTAAGGCAACAGCTAATGCAGGTGCGCTCCCTTGTGTTCGTTCGCCATGACATGCTTCCGCATTCGTAGCGTACCCGTACGACGCCAATGGCTATCTTTACGCGAGGATCTGCAAACTGGGCTGATCGATTGGCGACGGCCTCAAAACTGGCGTGCTGACACAAGGGACAGGGCTTGACTGTAATTTTTGAGGCCCGTCCAATATTGCGCCGGAAGAAGCAATAGTAGGTTTCCCTTCCCGTTGTCCAAGCCTCATAATCTGTCTCGCCAGAGCCTCGTTCACTCAAGCAAGAAACGAGGAAACGTGGGCGAGGTAACAGCCGCATATGCACGCATTGCATGGTTCGACCTCGTGACTATGAACGACTTCTCGGTGTTGGCGAATAGGACGGTATCTCGGCACGGCAGCGTCGTCAGCTTGGTTGGTTTAGTCATACGCCGTACCGAAGTTCGGACGACGCCGATGGTTTAGCGCCGTTTGTGGCTCTCGGCGCCGCGGCACGTGATGTTTGTTTATCTGGATGCCTGCTGAGTCGGGCGCACCGAAAATGCTCAGGCCGTAAGGCACAGATGTAAGGTATCCGTACCCACCACAGCCGTGACCCCAACCAGACCAGAGAGAGTGACAAGAAGACAAAATAGGACGCCGCAACTTACAATTGTAACGTTCCTAAGGTAAATTTCTTATTCTTTTTATTAATTATCCTATCTTGAGTCTGCTATCACTTTCATCTTCTGTATTTCCTCACAGATTACTCTTTGGAAAAGAAGAAGAGTAAGAATAGGAGAAAGATGGCTAGAGTACATAGACCGGCAAACGATTATGTCAGCCACTCGAGTGACAAGTAACTTGCCAAGCCAGGGGCACCAGCCACGTTCCCCGGCCACGTTCCTGACCTTGGCGCCCGGAAGCTTAAGCCTGCGGGTTAGGTACCCCAGATTCGGAGCCGTAGGGCTGATGGAAGGGTCGACTTGGTGAAGCTCGAAATTGCACCGTTGTTGAGAGAGCAATTATGAATAAGGTGGTCTTTTTCCGGTTCAGTATTGCTGGAAATTGGACGAGTTGGATGAGATCCTCAGGCGACCCATACAACGAAAGTTGACACCACCAAAACCCGTCCTTCGTTGCTAACAACACCTGATGCTCAGAGACGAGCATTTTGAAGCCCGAATGCGATGGAAAATTGAGATATGACATCATTGGCATTGATCGGTCATTGTCAGGCGCATCTATGCGCCGCGGCTTCTCACTCCCCCAAAAAGCGAGTGGGTTGGTAGCGGCTGTCTGACTTGCGTTCCCATTGAGTGATAAGACGCAGTGGCCCAAAGTTGCACTTCATTCAAGGGCTATCAACGTCTCTCTTTCGAAATACAATAATGCGGTCGCGACAATGCGACAATTTGTGGTGGACACTCATCGCCGCCCACTTACCCCGGGCCCGACTTTTTTAACCTCTTGCGCCGAGGAGCACCGTCAATCCTTGCAAAGCGATTGACATGCTTCAGACTTTCGACAGGTAGAGACGAACATCGGTTGACAGAGCCGCTGACCGTGCTCGGGGAGCAACAAATTGAACAAATAGTCGGATTTGCTCATGCCAATGGCAGGGAATTCCAAATTGCAGATTTCATTCAGATTGAGGCCCCTCAACGAAGTCGGTTGGATTGAAAAAAGAGTTGGGTCTACACTCCCCAAAGCGGAAGTCTCGTAGCCTGAGAGCGTCGAGCGCTCGGACCATTTGTGGCTGGTCGGCGCTGCACGTGAGACCCACTCTACAGACTCTCGTCCTTCCTCGCCCGAGTGAATGGCGCGCAACTACGCGCTGTGGTGATTTTTCAGCGAATCCGACTTTATTATCACCGGGTGGTGTTTTCAATCCTCGCTGTGCATTATCGCCAGCGAAACCCGTCGTCGACATCCAGGTCGACTCGAATTTTTGCGATCGGATTGCTGAGAAGCCAATGGCGTTGTGCCGCGCAAACACCTTTGCCTAACGCCTTCATTGTTCTTGCACATCACTCTCCCTGAGCGCTAAGACACTGGTATGGCCTTCCTACTTCCCTTCACGTTTCCAGTTGCTGCAATGAAGTTGGGGGATTGATCCTGTTTCACCATATTGAAGCTCTTCTACAATTGTTTTCTTGTCTGCATGTTGATGCTAATTATCAGTGTCCAGACCTTAGCTCGAGGTAGCTAGGCAGCAAGCAGTAGCTTTCCACAGCGTGCTCGACGCTCAAAGACCGCGATACCAACCCTTTCAACCACCACACATCGTAAAATTCCTCAATCGAGTCACAATGCCGTCGAAACGAAAGCGCGACATCGAGGATTTCGATCCTAACAAGTCGGATTCCGATGACGAGAACTTCGAGCCCGGCGCGGATGGCCCCCCCGTTCGCACCAAGAAGCGATCGCGCGGATCCAAGGGTCAAAGGAACGCCGGTGGCGGTGGACGGCGCCGGAACAACCGCTATCGAGGATCCGACATTGAAGATGAAGACGATGATGACGTGTCTGATAGTCAAGACGAGGGCTCCTTCGTCTCTGAAGATGAAGAAGAAGAAGAAGAGGTTATGCCTGTCAATGCAGCCGGTCGTAGATCAAGAAAGGCCGCGACCAAGCACAATAGCTACAAAGAAAGTGACGACGACGAATCCGACCCAGCCGAAGAGTCAGACGACGTGCTCTCTGAGGATTTACCCAAGCCCAAGAAAAAGGACAGCTTAATGATCAAGCTCAAAGTGCCAAAGAACGCTTCGACGACCGCTCCTGGTGTTACTCGACGATCAACTCGTGCCCACACCGAGGAGTATGGCGAGGAGCACGTTGAACTCACCAATTCCGGCAAACATGGACGGCCTGCCTCGCGTTCTAGGAGCCCCGAGACCCTGGCCCGCACTCGGTCTTCCCGCTCCATCAAGGGTTTGAAGAAGGGGCCCGAGACAATCGAAGAGGCCACCCAGGAAAGCAGCGGCCCTCGGGAGGAAGAGGATGCCGATGTTGATGAATTGGCTGGCGATGCTGAGCAAGTCGTTGAAGAAACAAAGGATGCCGAGATGGAGGATGTCAAAGAATCGACAGAAATCGTGCAGGGAGACATCGTGGCCGAAGATGACGATGACGACGAAGACGAAGGTCCAATCGTCACGCGGCGAACCAGGGCAAAGAGAGGAAGTGGATCTGGGCCTGCTGAGCCCGCCGAACCGGAGGCTGATGCCGAAGGCGAAGCTGACGATGACGTTCCCAAACGATCTGGGCGCCTAACTCGCCGCAACGGGCTTCGGAAATCAAAATCTGTTCAAGAGCCCAGTAGCGATTTCGAGCCCGGCGAAGAGTCAGCAGGGGAGGAAGACCGCATGTCTGAATCACCCAAGAAGGATTCCGGCGATGGTGACGACGGCGATTTCGACAGCCCGGCTCCGCGCGGTAGGGCCGCCAAGCCAAAGGGTCGATCCACTCGGAGCTCGCGCCGTGGCGCCGAGTCAGCCGAAGAAGCCGAGCTAGACCAGGACGAGTTGGCCGAAGAGCTCCACGAGCTAAGGCAGGACTCCCGCTCGCGGCGTCCGCGACGACCTTCACCAGCCATCATCTATCAAGAAACAGCATCCAAGCGACGCAGAGCCGCCGCGAAGCCCATGAACTACTTCATGCCACCTCTCTCTGCCGTAAATATTGAGGAAGATGACGGCGAAGATCCAGCCCCGACTCCTGCACGTCGTCGCGGAGGCCGTGGAGGTGCAAGTCAAGCTTGGGATCGCGCCCTCAACACAACATTTGGACCTTTTGGAGGTGGGGGCGGCGCCGGGTCACTCCTCGGCGGGCCCTGGGGGTCTGGGATGGCCGCAGGAGGTGTTGATTCGGACAGTAGTGACGATGAAATGGGCCAACGATCAGGGCCTGCTGGTGGAAATGTTGGCATGACGCCCACATCAGCCGCCGGTCCAGCTGGACTCCTTCCTGGCCTTGCGCAGCCTTTGGGTGGGGAGGGTGGCGTGGGGGCAGCTCCCAACGTTGGCAAGATCAAGAACCAGAAGGCTTTGGCAGATGCCGATCCTCTTGGTGTCGATCTGACTGTGGACTTCAATCACGTCGGTGGTCTTCAAGGTCACATCGATCAGCTGAAGGAAATGGTCCAGCTCCCTCTTCTTTACCCCGAGCTCTTCCAGAGATTCCACGTCACGCCACCTCGAGGTGTTCTTTTCCACGGTCCTCCCGGTACCGGTAAGACTTTGCTTGCTAGAGCTCTTGCCAACTCCGTGGGCGTTGGCGGGCGCAAGATCACCTTTTACATGAGAAAGGGAGCCGATGCTCTGAGCAAATGGGTTGGTGAAGCCGAGAAGCAGCTGCGTCTGCTCTTTGAGGAAGCAAGAAGAACGCAGCCGAGCATCATTTTCTTCGATGAAATTGATGGTCTGGCTCCGGTGCGCTCTAGCAAGCAGGAGCAGATTCACGCTTCCATCGTCTCAACACTCCTGGCCCTGATGGACGGTATGGACGGCCGCGGACAGGTTATTGTAATCGGCGCCACCAACCGTCCTGACAATATCGATCCCGCTCTCAGACGACCCGGACGATTCGATCGAGAATTTTACTTCCCTCTGCCTGACGTGGCTGGCCGACGGTCCATTCTTGAAATCCACACCAAGGACTGGGGTCTCTCAGAGCCATTTAAGCAACAACTCGCCGAAAACACCAAGGGCTATGGTGGTGCTGATCTTCGTGCTCTCTGCACGGAGGCTGCTCTCAACTCCATTCAGAGGACGTACCCGCAGGTCTACTCGTCGAAAGACAAGCTCATCGTCAATCCTGACAAGATCAACATCCATGCGACAGATTTCATGCTGTCGATCAAGAAGATGATTCCGTCGTCTGAGAGGTCCGCCGGTACAGGCGCTGCTCCTTTGCCCAAGGGAATCGAGCCGCTGCTTAGAAACCAGTTTGCATCGATCAAGAAGGCTCTAGACGATGTGTTGCCTCGTAAGAAGAAGCTGACAGCGCTGGAAGAAGCCATGTTCGAGCAATTTGAGGATGAGGATCACGGCTTCGGTAGAGAAGCTCTGCACCAAGAGTTTGAGCGGTCTAGGATCTTCCGCCCGCGATTCCTGATCCATGGGTTTTCGGGCATGGGCCAGAGCTACTTGTCCTCTGCCCTGTTGCACTACTTCGAAGGTGTACACGTTCAGAACTTTGGGCTTCCCAACTTATTGGCGGACGGACGGGTAGGTTCATTGCCGTCACATTGTTATTTGCACTGCTAACGTCTCGCAGCCCATGGAACAGGTGATTGTCAGTTTGTTCACTGAAGTCAAGAGACACAAGCCGAGTGTCATCTACATCCCCAGCATTGAATCGTGGTATGCCGCTATGAGAGACACACTACCATTCATCACATTCAAGAACATGCTCAAGTCTATCCCGCCTACGGATCCCATTTTGGTGCTTGCCACGGCTGAGTATGAAGCTGGAGAGGACCTCGCACCTGAGCTCGTCCGGGAGCTATTTGCCTTTTCCCGCAAAAACCGGTTGCAGATTCAGCGGCCGAAGCATGTAAGTACAACAGATGAAGATTTGCGGGAATCTCTTTGCTAATTTTACTAGTCAAACCGGCGAGAATATTTTGCTTCCATTGTTGACCATATCCGCAAGAGTCCGGCTGACTTCCCTGATCCTGCCAATCGGAAGAAGAGAGTCTTGGAGGAGTTGCCCGTTGCTCCGCCGCCGCCACCGAAAGTACCTACCAAGGAAGAGATCAAGGCCATGCAGAAACGCGACCACCAGTTGCTCAATATCTTGAAGGTGCAACTGCAGCCAATTATGGACCAGATCAACAGGAAGTACAAGAAGTTCAGACAGCCCGTCCTTACTCCCGGCCAGCTGGATTACCTCTTCCTCGAAAAGGACCCCAACTATGTCCGCCCCGACGTAGCGGGTATAGAGCATCGGCCTTTCGAGATTGTAAAGGACAAGTACGATGTTGACGTGCTGCGCGAGACAATTTCTGGCAAGACTTTCTACAACCTGGAAACGACCACCATTGAGGAGAGGTTGTCGAACGGCTTCTACTGCCGACCAAAGGACTTCCTTCGGGACATCAAATCACTTGCCAAAGATGCCAAGAACATTGGCGATAAAGAGCGGACGCTCAAGGCAAACGAGCTTGTCAGCAATGTCGAAGTAGACGTCGCTACAATTGAGGGCAACACCAGCACTGTGGACTGGGAGGCGTTGCATCAGAGACAGCTTCAACGCGCCAAGGTCCAAGCTGAGAAGGCGAGAAAGAAGAAGGCGCTTCAGTCTGTTCTCGATCGAGTTCAAGGCGATGTGGGTGGCGGTAATGACAGCGACTCACAAGGGCCGGTTACGCTGGGCGAGCAGATTCCTGGGTCCGGTCATGCCATGGCTCGTTTCCAGGTCATGAGCCCGGGACCGAGTGGCGGCGTGGGATCCCATCAGCAAAGCAACGGCACGTCCAACCCTTCTCGGCAAAGCGACGTACACATGAGCGGCGTGGACGACGACACGACGCAGGATAGCTCCATGCAGCCGCCAGCTCAATGGCCGCCTCAAGGAAACGCGACAACTGGGACTACACAGGTATCACAAAGATCTGTCATCACCACAGTGCCTCCCGGCATGTCGCCTTCTGCGATTGTGAACGACGCTTCCACCACCAAGACGTCAGATCCATCGGACAGATCGACAGACAAGTGGAGCACGCAAGCGACAGGACCGACAAACGGGTTCCATCCAGATCAATCCAGCCAAGGCGACAATTCGCAGCTGCAGGATACCCAGATCCCTGCCGGCATGGATCCTGTGAGCCAGGCCACTTCTAGCGACGCAGCTTGGCCGCACTCCCAAGCTCATGGCATGGCGCGTGGTATCATTCACCCGCCTGGCAGTCAGACATCATCTCCCAACAAGTCTAGGAGCTCGGGAGACTCAAAGCACGCCATGCCCTTGGTCAATATTCTCAATGACTCAACAAGTGAAGACATCAGGAATTCTGGTTCGTCGTCTTCGCAGCAGCAGCCTGTCATCCACGAGGGCCAGGTCGAGCAATTCCTGGACGAGTTGACGGAGAGAACATCGGGCTGCACTATTGAACAGTTGGAGCAGATCAACCGTGAGCTCATGGACGAGATCTGGAACACGAGGCATGAGTGGAACCGCATGAAGGTGCTCGGCGACCTGACCAACGTCTTCAACGAGACCATTAGCGACATTGAGAGCATCCAGGGCTTGTTCCAGCAAAGCCAGCAAGCATGAAAGAGGGGACATGTGAAGCCGGACAGCAAATGTTTCCCACGACTTGTACCATAGCACGTTTCCTTGAATTACTTTTTATTTCCCCCACTGTCTTGAGTCTTTTTCTTCTTCTCCGGCATCCATGGCGGAAAACAGGTTGACGGTGGAGTGGGGTTGGTTGGGTTGGAGGTGGGAGGGGAGGGCAACCGGCAATGGTCTAATTTGTGAGCGACGGGACGACCCCCTTTTTTCTTGTGATAAAGTGCATTATATTGAGAATTCACCGCATCCTACTCTGTGTAGCATGGGGTAGGCAATAGACAAAACTCACTGCATTATGTTTCTGATGAAGCTTTTCTGTGCATGTCACTCGACTATCTTGGGGAGGATAATTCTATTGTTCGAGAACTTGGACTCCATACGTCGACAACGAGTCGTGCCTTAATTTCGACGCCAAAGTTACATGGCATAAGTATAAGTCTCTCAAGAAATCATTTTATTCCTACACAAAATAGCTGATCCAACGTACTCCCCCCATTCAAAGCTTCGCTTTGGCGCTATCATACCTCTTCCCCTCGTCGTCCTGCTCCTTGACGCGCAGATCGGGCAGTTCCGCGGGCATGATTCTCCGCGGCTCGGACCCGGGAACGAGAGAGTAGTTAGCAAAGTCCGTGACGCCGGCGTGATCCCGCAAGAAGTCTTCGTCCAGGACGAGCTCGCCGTTGACTTTTGCCGCGGGCGCGCGCAGGATCTCGAGGATGGCGTCGGAGAAGATCGTGGGCTTACGCAGGTCTTTTGATTCGTCGGCGTTTGCGGTTTGGAATTTTTGAGTTGCTGCGGATTCAATGGCCTATGATGGTCTCTCGTTAGTGTACGCGATTCGGCGTATATGTTGAACATGACCGACGATGGTCTCATCTATCGGATATTGATAGAGAACCAGGAAGCGAGCTTCTTCCTAAAAAGAAGATTGGAGGAGAAAAGAAGAGAGAAAGAGACAACATACTGCGGCGGGCCAGATACTCGTAATGGCCATGTCGTCCAGCCCTTGCCGGACGAGGTCCATGGCCAGACCCTTTGTCAAGACGCTCATGCCGACTTTACCCATGGCGTATGCCGTCTTGCCCCGGAAGAAGCGGCTGTAGATTGGCGGGCTGACGACAACAATACGGCCGCGGCGCTGGCGCTTGAGGTGCGGGAGCGCGGCGTGGAGGGTCAGATAGAGGCCCTCTGGGTTCACGCGCTGCATGAGCTGGAAGCGTTTGGGGGGCGTGTCTTCGACCGAGGCCCACCAGATTGCGCCCGAGTTGTAGACTAGGACGTCGAGGCGGGTGTAGATCTGAGCGAGGAGAGGAGGTTTGCGTCAGTGGATGTACATGTAGGAAAGCGAGTGGAGCCATTTTGATAGATACCTTGATTGTCCGTTCGATTAGCCGTGTGACACTGTCTTGGTCTCGCACGTCGACGGCGATTGGCGTTGCGTCGCCGCCGGCCTCGTGGATTTCGCGGGCTACCGTGCTAATCGTTGAATCATTTGAGTTGGTATTCGGTGGGAATGGATTGGCCTTGGATGCGTCGCTGGTGGTCTTTGCGGCAACGACGACTGGTATTGGACGTGAGTTACTGGGCAATATGATTCGTGAAGATAGGGAGATTTGCAATACCTGCATAGCCATTCTTCGCGAGGTCAATGGCGATTTGACGACCGATACCTCTCGAGGCACCGACTACCAGAGCTACCTGCTTGACTTCACCCATTGTACGTAAGCTGGGATGTTTGAAATGTGTACCTTCTCTACTATGTGGGAGATGTGAACGGGGAATTCTCAAGCATATGATGTGATGAAGTTCTACCAAGTCATAAAATCCACGTCAACTTAGATATCGTAGCGCAACACAGTATATAAGCCTTGAGTTGCGCAAGGTGATGTGAGACTTTGTACCCATGCCGTCGGGGCTCGGTACGTGAACGTGTATTAGTGATCGTCCCCGATTGAGCTCGAAGCTAAGATGCTGGAGCTTTATCCGTACCCCAGACACCCACTGGCTTGTGCCGAGGTTCCCCACACCATCCACCATCAAGTCCACTTCATCAACTTGTCTTCATGAACCTTTGTTCAACATTTACTACAAAGATTGCGCCATCCAGTGTGCCACGAAGATCATTACGTTTGTCCGCCAATAAACCCAAATCGTGAATACCGCCATAACTTTGTTTCCGAGCACCGCCAAGATGGGCGGCAAGATTGATGCCTACATAGACATTGGTGAGTCTCACAGTATACTATTCCAAGGAACGAAGGGCTTTACTGATGATAGTCGTCAGCATCGCTGTATAGTTATATAGCCTTCACTCATATCATCAACAATCAGGAACTTCTCGCAGCTCATGGAGTCCAAGTAGAGTTCGTCTTCTTGGTCTAAGAAATGACACTCTCATTTACAGCCACTAACCAATATAACCCATCAGGATTCACCCCGTTCTCCTTGGCGCCATCAATGCCGCTTCAGGTATGCTTGTCCAGCTGTCTCAAGATGTGACAAGCATCCAGCTCACTCGTCACGCAGGAAACAAACCACCATGGACCCTCCCAGCCAAGGCAGAGTACGGCACTTTTGACGCCCGCCGCTCCTCCGCTCGGGCAGGCAAGCCCGGCATCACCACGCCCGAGAGCTTCATGGAGCGAAGCATGACAGTCGGTCCCCTCCGCGCCCTGCACTTCATCAAAGCAAACTACCCCGACGCAACGTACCAGACGGCTTGGCACTGGTTCCTCCACTGCTTCTGGGAGCCGCCCAACCTCAACCTCACGAAACCCGACGTCCTGGCCAAGGCGATTGCGGACGCGCCAAAGCAGTACCCAGCGCCGCTCGCCAGCGGCGGCAGCACGCAGGAGAAATTGTTCGGCGAGGCGGACGTTAAGAAGATCTTGCAAGGGGCTGGGTCACAAGAGATTAAGGACTCGGTCAAGGCCAAGACGCAGGAGGCGATTGATCACGGCGCGTTTGGCGCGCCGTGGTTCTGGGCTGTGAATGAGCAGGGCAAGGGCGAGCCGTTTTTCGGGAGCGATAGGTTTCACTTCATTTACGAGTACCTGGGTGTGCCTTACCAGGATATTGCCATCTTGCCGCCTGGAGGTAAGGCGACTGCGAAGCTGTAGTCTGGTCGTGTATACGTTATGTTTGTAAATTGTTTAGGGGGTATCTCTTTTTGTTATCTCCATGAATAAAACGCCGAATCGTAACCAATACCCAAGAACCCCGTGGAACCACATAGAGGGAAGAACAACAACATTGCAGCGCAAATAGAAATTTCACTGCACACGACCAGCCATCCTCGCCCGCCGCGCGTCGTCTTCCCTCTTGGCCTCGCTGCGCGCCAGGAAATCCTGCCTCTCGGCATACGACCCCTTGGCCCTGCCCGCCAGCTCGAGCTCGTCCTTGAGCCCTTCCTTGTCCACGAACCCGGCCCAGTCCATCTTGCTCTTCTGCACCGTGTTGAGCTTCTTGGCCTGTGCCTCCTTCTCCCTTGCCTTGATCCGCACCGTCATGCCGAGGTTCAGATCCGAGCGCTGGCTGACAATTTCGATAACGGGCTCAAAGGCCGAGCGGAACGCCTTCTTGAGGACGCGTTTCGGCTCCCCGCCCTCGTTGTCCGCGTCCGCGCCTGCGATTTCCGCGGCGGCGGCGTCCTTGCCGAGGGAGGCGAGGTAGAGCTTTGCCTCGGCTGAGGAGCGTGCTACGACTTTTTCCTCGGTATGGACTTTGCCTGCAAAGTTGTAGGTTCGCTTGATGCGGATCGTGTCTGACGGGTCGCCTGCCTGGGGTTCGTCCGGCTTGCTCGTGTCAGGCGCCGCGGCGGCGGGCGTAGCGTCGGCTTCCCCTCCTGTCTCGTTCTCGCCGGCTGGTGCTGCTGTCGTCTTCTGACCGGAAAGCATTTGTGCCCAGAGGGCATCGACGTCGACCGTTACCGGGCCAGATGCTGCCGCGACTTTGCGTTCTTCTTTTCTGTTACACAAACTGTCAGCGAAAGGTAGCAGAAAACCGGGAAAGGAATAGCAGTGTCCGCTTACTCTGCAGCCCGCATGCTTCGCGTCTTCACCAGTCCTCCTTCGCCTCCCTCGTCTTCCACACCGAGAGCTAGGGCGGCCGCCGCATCCCTCGCAGCCTTTTTGAGCTTCTTCTTCGCTGCCTTCTTAATCAGGCCTTCGTCGCCCGAGTTTTCTAAGTCTGCAGCCTCGTCGCCGCCGCCGGCATCGCGCTTGCGCTTGGTGCTTGTCTTCGCTGCGTCTTCGCCGTCGTCGGCTTCGGAATCGGACGCTTCGGAGGCGCCGTCGTCGACTGTGGCTGCGTCTTCAGGCGCAAAGTCCGAGTCCTGGGAGGACTCGTATTCTTCGTCGTCCATGGTCGGATCGGGAGGCATATTTTGAGGTTATGGTGAGGACTGACGTGGGTTTGAGGAAGTCAAGAGTCGCGTTCGAGCAAGACTTGGCTGAGAAAGTTCGGTCGGCTGCTATCGGCACTATCTTGACCGAAGGCTCTCGGTGAAATGAGGTCTGCATCCAATCAGAGGGCGTTACGCCCACCCTTCATCACCTACTGCCATATCGCTCGACGCCCTTGTTTTTATCCGGTTGGAAGCATCATTGACAAATTGTAGCCGTAAAATATGGTGTATATCTAAAGTAGTTTCAAGAAGTCGCAAACAGCCCACAACTGGTGGCTTCTCGATGCCCAAATATTGTACTTAACATGAACTTTGATCTGAAATGCACTTGAAAAACGAGAACGAAGCATCGTAGGAGAACGAGAACATGCGTTGTTGGTATAAGAAAATACGCAAGAAGCGTAATAGCGGAGATACATCCTGCCTGCATAGCAAATTGAAGCTACTTGCTTATCCACCAGTCCGAGCCTTGAGGTGAGTTCCATGTATTCGTACATGAAGAGGTGGAGGAGGACCAACGCCGTTAGACGCTATGACCACCACCTTGGATGGTTGGGATAGCGCCAGCAAACCTTGGGCGAAGCAGGCACGGCAGGGTAGCAGGACCCTTGCCCAAGTGCTCCTGCCTGACATCAACCCATCTGGTGTGCGATTCTCGGTCCCTCCGTGCCTAGAATCGGGGATCCTACCTTAATTACCTTTTCGCAATTTTCCCTTCTGACACACCTTCTCCTCCCATCTCCGACCAGGCCGCAATAATGAGTAGCGACGACGAAGACTTCGTAGTCGAAGGCCCCGAGTTGGCCGCAGACGACCCTATGCGCGCGTTCCTACCGGCGTCGTTTGGTAAAAAGACAAAGGAAGCCAATATCGCCGCCCAGATCGATCGGAGCCGAAGAGTGGCAGAGAAATACTCGACAGGAGCTCCCATAGAGGGATCCGCAGGTCCGCCAAGTGCTGATCACAAAGAAAAGAAGTCCGACTCAGACAATGACAGTGACAGCGACAACTCCGATTCGGACGAATCCGAAGATGGCGACGACTACCCGGTTTCGCACGAATTGGTACTGAAAACCCACGAAAGAGCAGTCACCACAGTAACGCTGGACCCAGCAGGTGGACGACTCGTGTCAGCCTCACTCGACTGCAAAATCAACTTGCACGACTTCGCGTCCATGACACCCAGTACTTTACGAGCATTTCGAAGCGTTGATCCATGGGAAGCGAAATCGTCTGCCGCGAATGCCGAGTCGCACCCGATTCACCATGTCGAGTTCAACCCCCTCGCTGGGAGCGTGTTTCTCTGCGTATCGGCACACCCGCAGGCAAAGATTATGTCGAGGGACGGCGACATTTTGACCGAATTTGTCAAGGGCGACATGTACCTCAGGGATATGAACAATACCAAGGGGCACATCTCAGAAGTAACCACAGGAACTTGGCACCCGACCGACAAGAACCTCTGTGTGACTGCCGGTACCGATAGCACCCTGAGAATTTGGGATATCAATAATAAGCGCAGTCAGAGGGACGTGATTGTCTTCAAGTCCAAGGCGGCGGGATCTGCTGGTCGAACGAGGATGACTGCGGTTGCCTGGGGCGCGCCGGCACAAGGTGGCAACAACGTTTTGGTCGCGGCCGCACTAGACGGCTCGCTGGTCATGTACAGCGGCAATAGCCCGTTCTCTCGGCCAACGGCAGAGATTCGAGACGCCCACAAAGCCGATACCTGGACCGGAGGTGTGGACATCTCCTCCGACGGCCGTATGGTCGTTACCCGCGGAGGTGACAATACGATCAAGTTGTGGGACACACGGAAGTTCAAGACACCTCTTGTCACAGTGGACCATGCTTCGACGTCAGATCACTTCCCGATGAGCAACATCAGGTACTCTCCCAACTCGACCAGCATTCTGACAGGTTCCGCGATAGGGGACCTGCACATTCTGAATCCCGGAAATCTGAAGGCCGAGCATGTCACACCAATTACACCCGGAGCACCTCTCATCACTGTCGACTGGCATCCCAGGATAAACCAGATTATCACGGGATCTGCGAATGGCGAGACACATGTGCTTTACAGCCCGACAATGTCGATGCGAGGCGCTGTGGAAGTTATGTCACGAGCGCCAAAGAAGAGGCACATCGACGACGATCCGTCCCGAACGACGGATATGACAACGGGCATGTCTGGAGATGCAATTATCACACCAGGAAGCGTAATGGCTGGCCGCAGAAACGCGGGAGTCACGGCTTCAGGCAAGTCTAAGGATCCCAGAAGACCAGCAGTCTTGGAGCAAACACCTTTCATGCGAAACCAGCCGGACGAAAAGCATATCGCAGAGAACATTCCTCTTGCAAAAATGCTTCACGAAGATCCCAGAGAGGCACTGCTGAAGTATGCCGATGCTGCAAAGAAAGACCCAATGTTTACTGCGGCGTGGCAGACAACCCAGCCCGTCACTCAGTATGCGGATGTGAGCGACGACGAAGGGGAACCGGACAAAAAAAGGGTCAAGCGGTAAAAATTTACGGTGCTGCTATCGGGCCTCGTTGTATGATTTCGTGGGGAACCATGACAAGCTCGAGCATGAGCTTAAATTTGGACGAGGGAGGGTTTGGAGTGGTGCTGGCTAATCAATCCGGGTCGCATTTGGGATATGGGTACGGGGAGAAACACCTAGGAAATGGCAAGCCTACTATTCGGCCTGCATTCCAAGAAGGATCTCTCCACTTGTTCATCTTTCCGTCAGATTAGCTTCGCTGGGAGCAAACCCCAAACATGGAGACAAGCAAAGCAGCTGACACTTGCAGAACGGGATTGTGTGGACGTCCCCGCCACGGCCAACTCACCCGGCCTGGCCCGGGGTAGGTGCTTCAGCCAACGCGCGTCTGGAGGGGTAGGATGGGTTCTACGGGAGAAAGACGCGCCTCCGATGCACCGACAACCTAAACATTTTCCTTCACCTTGCTGCAAACGAAAGACGACAGATGCCAAGCGGCGTGGATCTGGCATTCCTTGGTGGCCGATGAACCTGACAGGCCACGGTTTGAGGCGCGTGTGTGGCCCGGATAGTACCCGAAGCCAACCAGTGGCCGACCAGGCCGGCCGCTGCCTGCCTGCAGTAAACCAGGGAAAGAGTTGGCCCAAGCGCCCTCGCTTGTACATAAACAGATTAGCGTAGACGCCTCAGGCAGCAACTTGTTGCGGTGCTGAAAATTACGGGGACTCAGTTTCACAGAGTCCGCACCAACCATCAATGAATCTTGTCGTTGTCCTCACCTCTCCATCTCAACCGGCACCGCGCGCATCGAAAAATCGCCATCCCCCCTCTACAGGCATCGACACCCATCTCGGAAAGTGTCCAGCAACCTATTCCACGCGATTTCCTCGCGCATCTTGCTCGAGGCAACGCCCCGACGCCGCGCCCTTCCGACCAACTCCCGTTTTTTTCGCATCACGTCCTGTTCATCCTTCCACCCATTCCCCCCCACGCTTCGCGGCACCGCATTCGCGTCCCCCATCCATCGCCTCTGCCGCTGAACTCCATCCGCCATCTCGGTGAATTCAATTCTACGCGACCGACGTGTTTCCGTTCCGACCACGGCATCAACCTTGCCGTCCCCGAACCACATCGCCGTCCCCAAACCTTGTGTTTTTGATACCGACGCGCTGTATTTTCCGTCCTTATCACCAATAGCCTTCTAGTCTCTCATTTCGCGACGAGCCGAGCGCGACAAACCTTCAATAAGGCTCCACTTGTCTACACCTACGACGCCTTTGCATGATAATGCGCGCGAGATTGTCGTCGCATCTCTAGAGATTCCTGCAGTCATTAGATTTGCTGGAATACACATCGCCCATCATGGCTTCAGTACAGGCTGCGCCTGCCGTCCAGCTCCCTGGCGCCGGCATGGCGACTACCACTCCTCAACAGGCTCAAGAGATATTCAATGTAAGAAGTCTTTCTTCATCACTATCGCATTCCTTCCCTACTTCGATGATATTTCAAACCTTGATGCGATTTTACGATGCTAACACACCGAAGAAATTCAAGCAGATGAGAGAGAGCGGCGTCCCCAACACTGATCCCGAATACATCAAGGCCGAGCAGTTCGTCTTGTCCTTCCAGCAACAAGCACGCATGCGACAGAAGCAACAGCAATTCCTCCAACATCAGCAGCAACAGCAACAGATGCAACAGCAGCGACAGATGCAGCAGGCTGGCGGTCCCAACGGCGCTGTCAATGGCTCGCAGCCCGCCCAGCAGCACCCTCAGTCGACACAACCTCCTACATCAAGTGCGCTCAGCGCCTCAGCGCTTCCTGCAGCCAACTCGAATGCCGCCGCTGCAGCTGGATCTCCTTCGACAGCTGCTCCTTCCAGTGGTACAGGTGCTGGCCAGTTCAACCCACAACAATTGAGTTTGCTTAGACAACAGATCCACGCTTTCAAGCTGTTGACCAAGAATGCTGGAGTTCCCCTGCAGATGCAGCAAGCTATCTTTGCCCAGCGCGAGCGCAGGAAAGCCATTGCCGCCGAGGCTGCCGCACTGGCAGCTTCATCAACACCCGCAACAACTGGTCGGGACTCTGCACAGCCTGGCATCAACGGGTCCGAAGCCAAGCCCGAATCTCCTCCAGAGGTCCAAGGGCCAACGTTCAAGACCGTCAGGTCCCCTTACGGCGATAACAACCTCATTCGCAAGTCGATTAGCCACTTCGACCACACTCAACGGAAAAATCGCAAGCTCATCCCGGGACTGTTCCCCACTGGCGTCGACTTTGACCAGCTGCGGTACGAGAGGGAGCTGATTGTGTTCAACCGCATGAGAGATCGGTTCGCTGAGCTCAGAAATACACCAGCAAACATCGCCCACTGGGATACCACCAAGGACGATGTTGAACTGGATGATAGTGCAAAGGTCAAGGCGATCATTGAGATGAAGAGCCTTGGCTTGTACGCCAAGCAGAAGGCGCTGCGGGATAAGATTGGCCGCTCAATGATGTTCTATGACAACCTTGCAATGACGACCAACCGCTCCGGATACCGCCGCACAAAGAAGATGACGGTTCGCGAGGCCAGAATCACAGAGAAGCTTGA